TTTCCTAGTAGAAAAGGTTTACTGAATTAACTAAATGGCAGATTATAGCTGTAGTGTGGAGGGAGATACAAAGGAAGCCTGTTGTCCACTTGTATAGGATGTAGTTCCCTTAGGGCCTGTTCGGGGGAAAGACGAGCTAAATCCCGCTGTTCCCGCTAGTTGTAGAAGCTGTCCTTGCTCCATTGAGGGTCCTGCTCCGCCTATTCATCACTCTATCTCGTATGCTCAACTGGGATTATAATCATTACTCAAAAGGCTATCATGGTGGAAGCAAGCGCTCTCCCAACCTGAGCCGACGCCCAATGCCAGGCATATTCGAACATTGGTTGTATATGTGTTTTTACAATATATTGATTCAAGTATAATACCTTATCGAGGTGATCTTCTTTTGTCTGTTATCATAAATAAAAATTGGATGTCAAGATAATGTGAAGGCAGTTGTCCATTTATTAAGCCATGTTTTAGCACATTGTATTGTTTGTGTAGACACCAGTTGCAGCGGCGTTGCCTGCTGGCGTACCCTATTCGTTTAGCTTTTATCATGTAGGGAAGCTAGGGAAAAAAAAGATTGAAAATTAGAAACATACACAGTAGCAGCAAGACAACCCCATGTATGGATATACGTTGAGCGACATGCCGTCTTCCATTATTCAACGTGGATAAAATCTTAATAAACACAAAATGGCAACGCTCCTCCGGGAAGGATATCTGAATACATCTTGGATAGGAACCAGGGAAGACTGGAAGCAAGCGTGTCGAATGCCAGGAACTTCTCTTTTTGTGGTAATCATTCATCAGAGTAGTACCATGGCTTGCGTTCAAAGATATTAGGCCTATTCACCTCCCGTGGAACACAATTCCTACCTTCCCCCGCTGTGGATCATACTTATAATGTGGGGATATCTTCCTCGATATACGGAGCTGGTCCGATAATGAGACTTACAGGAGGAAAGTAATAGGCTACTGGGGCAACCCCCTCGGCAATTACTTAATTGCAATGGTCTAGTTACCGGACGTCGTATTTTATGTGAAAACCTATGGGTTCTGGTTGAAGTCACTTAAGTAGCCGCGGCACGGGGAGATAGGCGGCAACAGCGGGATTTGCGGACCAAACTATTCCAATACTAGACACCAGATGCGTGACCCTCAAGAATGATTAGATGACTTGTGTACATGGAATTGTAATTTCTCTTGAAAACCCAGTTTAAACCTTCGTCTAATAGACTAGAAGGCATACGCGCAAGTTCAATGCATTATCTTAGCCGAGTTGAGAAGGGCATAGAGCACGACAATAGAATCAAACCACAACACGCGAAGCTTGTCACCTAGACAGACAATACAACAGTTGTTGCGGAACTATACTTGTACTACATTTTTTTTCCAGATCAGGGGAAAATATTGGTACTGCCTTACCGAGCTTTGATCTTTCAAATGCCGAAGAGTCACTCTTTTATAGTATCCTTCCATTCCGTACGAGAACAATATCACTTCAGCCATGCCCTCAGAATCCAAGTCGAGCACAGTTTCGCAGCAGCCTAGCATAATAAAGCCCCCTGACGGCGGCTTTATGGCCTGGTGGCACGTCTTCTTATGCCACATGGTGTTTTTCAATACCTGGGGTCTTGCCAACAGCTATGGTGTGTTCCAGCAGCACTATACGGAAACGCTCGGGCATTCTGCTAGTGACATTGGGTGGATTGGAGGCATTCAAATGTTTTTAATGCTCTTCGGGGGCGTCTTCTCGGGCCGTGCGTCTGATGCCGGCTACTTTCGACACTGCTTCGTGACCGGGGTTATCATGCAAGTCTTCGGGATGTGCATGGCTTCGCTGTCTACCCGATACTATGAGATTCTACTTAGCCAAGCCGTATGTGTTGGGATAGGTAGTGGTCTGGTATTCACCCCTGGTCTCTCAATCATGGGCTCATACTTTCAGAAGTACCGCTCTATCGCAGTAGGCTTGTCGGCTGCTGGTGGCGCAACAGGAGGAATGGTCTACCCAGCAACAACAAACGCACTGCTCAATCATTCAAGCGTTGGATTTCCGTGGACAATGCGCATTCTAGCACTGATAATGCTGGTCACGCACATCCCTTCCGTGGTAGGGTATCGGCCGTATTTACCACCGCGCTCAACAGGGCCTGTGGTTGAATGGAGTGCATTCCGCGAGTGGCCGTTTGTGTTCTTCACGGCTAGCATGTTCCTCAATTTCTGGGGTCTATACATGGCTTTCTATTATTTGGGAATATTTGCCCGTGAGCAAATTCACCTTAAAGAGTCAATTAACCTCCTTGTCGTCTTAAACGGTGTCGGGGTCATCGGGCGGAGTTCTCCCTGTTTCATTGGCGAACGCTTTACGGGCATTGTCAACATAACCATCTTCTGCTCCGCCATTAGTGCTATTTGCGTCTACTGTTGGGTGGCTATTGACGGTTTAACGGGGCTATATGCATGGGCGGTTGTGTACGGCATCTTTGCCGGGGCTACACAAGCCCTGCTCCCGGCGATGGCGACTCGGCAAACGAAAGATATCACCAAAGTCGGCACGAGGACAGGGATGGTTTTGACGATAGTTAGCTTCTCATGTCTAACGGCGCCGGCTATTCAGGGTGCGCTTATTCAAGCCTGTGGCGGAGATTATATCGGAGCCAGGCTTTTTCTGCTAGCTCTATCGTCCTGGGGATGATATTTTTGTGGCTCTATCGATGGTGTCACGTTGGGCTTAAAGTCGATGTGAAGGTATAAGACTGGGGATGCATATTACCGGCGTTGTGGATTTCATGGTATACGTACGTGCATTGGTCGTCACTTTGCAAGTGGCTTTTGACGGGCTCATTGTGGTCCTGAAACACAGTCACTGTGCTTCATATGTGGTGGAAGCAAAGGCGAGGATGGCCTGAGATACATGTATTGGAGGGTTCATGATGTTAAGGCCTTAGACTACTCTATAAATTCCTCTTGTTGTGGAGTTTTCACTAGTTAAAAAGAAGACAGGGAATAGATTCTCCGGATATGCTTTACTGGAATAATCGAAAATTGACCAAAGAACCTGAATCAATCACATATTCATATATACACTCATTCTAGTCTGAATCCATTCTCTATCTCTCTCATAACCACAATGTCACAAGTGAGGCCCTAGATCGGCATTAGGCCGTAAAATAGTCTGTTGGGTCATGCTTGCAACCAAATGACCGTTCTCATTCCAAATCCTCCCCTCGCTAAAAGCTCTAGCATTTCCTGCAACAAGGGCTTTTTGCTCTGCCATATGCAAGTTCCCAAGATTCAAATCTTGAACGAATATCCGAAGGGAAAACTGCAATGTCGCGCAGGCGCTAGCTTGCCATAAATCGTATGCGCTATGGAGTGCCGGAACATATGCTAAACCCTTGTCTGCGTAGAATGCCAGAGCCGAGACTTGTTCGGCTTCGTTATCGAGGGCCACTGGTGCCCGGAACTTCTCATTGGTAATTGTTGATGGGGCAGGTGGAGGGCTGTCGATTCTATTATTCTGCTTTGGGCTTTTCTCGATGTTGCCGTTGTCAAGAATAGGCCGCATGTCGACAAAACGCTCGACATCTCTATAAAAGACCCCGATTCTTGGGTGTATTTGGTGGAGGAGTCGAGTATCTTCTGCTTAATGTGCTAAATGATGATTCGGTCCCAGGAAGGATGGAATAGGTTATGGCGGAGCAGGGCTGGTCAATGTGGAAATCTGCTAAGCCTATCAAGCATAGCCTAGTAGAACGTGCAGAACTGTAAAAGTGGAGATCTTCGGTAGTGAGTATAGTACAGAAAAATGTTTCATGTCTTTCATCGAAACTTTACAAGAGCATCAGAGGGGCTGGCATCAGATCCCTCTCGCCCTGACTGTCCGTCCACGTACCGATCGCTATGTGATATGACCGGTCCAGAGCCAGTGTGCCTTGTTATTGTCAACGAAGCAAAGAAGCTCGTAAATGGCTTCAAGTTCTAATATGCTAGTCTTCTGCGTTGCACATTACTATTTGTCTTATTGATTTAGGGATTATAAGGTAGGAATTAGTATGCAATCATGTCGGGTAGATCTGCATAGCTGGGCCTATGCAAGTTGCTTACGGTCTTTATGATTATAAAACTTGAGTTTGAGAAACCGAGCTCTGTTGCACTGCTTAGCGAGCGATATGTTTCCTATGAAGGGCAGGGCACACACCCGGACACTTGGACAAGATGTTTCAATGAGTGGGACCGTAGTTGAGACAGTAGTTGGGGGTATATTTGGAACCTGTCGTGGACAAAGCAAGCGAATATGGTATTGGGGTATGAAGTATTCGCATTTCAATGCGTTGAAAGCAAGCCCAGGATGTACCGAATGATGTGTCCCACTTAGGCGAGCAAGTCATCAAAAGAGATTAATCTGAGAATTGGTGATGAAGTAGCCTTTTTAAGAGCAATGGTAATGGTGATTTGTACGGTTAAGAGAAGCTTCAAACAAAAAGGAATTACAAGTCTATAGTCTTGAATTTAGACAGTTGCACATACGAGCATAATCTCCCATGTTGAGAGAGAGTTTATCTTGTTCTAGGCACAACAGTTCCTCCATGTTGTATACATGGTGTTTCTCTTCTTTTCACGTCAGAAAAGTCTCTTGGAGTACTCTATCGATTCTGAAGAAATGTACTTCAATATGAAATGCCACAGTCGGTATCACTCCAAAATGTCCTAGACTATGTATTTGACAAACTATAACCAGAACTTATCTTCGGGATCGTATCACCCCACAATCGCGACAGACGTCTAGAGTATTGTCGCGACTGGGTTGAGTCACACGCCATAACTTAGCTGCCTTGCAAATGTTGTCCTTGCCCTTTTCCCGCGGACAGTCGATCTTACTTGCGACCTCTTCGGGCATTTCTGGTGTCTTCTCCGTGATTCTCTTTCTCAGAGGGAGCCCAAGCACACACTGGCATTCTTCACAGTACTCAGGCAGAAGAGAATAGACACACATAACGGCCCTGGGCGAAGGTTGAGAAAGGATCCCGATGTTGCGTTCGGTAGAGGGTTGATCTATTGTGAAGTGTTAGTACATTGTTAGGGGTCATGACTCTAGAGGCGTTGTTGAAGATCGTCTCTGAAGGAAGGAGGGAGGGAAGGCTGAGGCGGGATAGATACATGTCTGAATAAAATAATGAGCTACACACTATGCCTACCTCGTATGGTATACTCCTTGCAAGTGAATTAGAAACGCAGCGAAAGATTATTAACTTTGATAAAACTAGGAAGGTAGCAGCCTGGATACAGACACGATGATTTTATATGTGACAATTCTACCCAGTGCATTCTTTTCTGTAGGCAATTTGGGGGAAATCCAAGACTCTACAAAGAGTCTGCCGGGCAACAAAGAGACAAAAAGAAGACCGAGAAAGAAGTCTGTCTCATTCCAGATATAACATGGAATGAAGCAGAATAGATGGCAAAGTTCCGTGTTCTACAGTCTTCCACTTATTGACCGGTAATAAGCATTCAGTAGCAGTGAGAATTTGATCATGAACATGATCCGTGGTAAGTAGTGCCTGAGTATATAAGATACACATAGATATTAAAAAATACCTTTTACACAGAACTATGTTCTATCATTGTTCTTTCAAACAAAGCAGCGCCAAGAAGACAAAGCAAATAGGGGAAATCATACGTGAAATACCGTCAGATTTCTAAGGTAAAGTTCCTAGCATGACAGCTTGGAATATTGCGGTACAGACGCTGTCTGTCAGGCCACAGCCAGCTCTGATTATTGGCTGATACCTTCTGTAGTTCCTGAATAGTCGCAATACTCCTTATGTAGTGGAATGCTCCCCTGTGTACCGTGCTAAATAAAGTCAGACCTTGAGAGGACTTTGTAGATCTAAAATTTTGAACGGGGCCGATCTAAGCCAAACCTTCATTCAAGGTATGGTCGATCAATCACATTTGAATAAATATACCACTGCCTTTATATTAAATTACTGTGTGCCCCAAATGTCCGCAACCTTCCTCAGAAGTCTTTCGGGAATACCCTGTAGACTTGACTTTTAGGGTGGCCTTTGATACATACAACGAGTCAACTGAATACCGGCTGCTTTGTACATTCTATACCATGTCAGTTCGACAGCCTGTCATTCTACCTTCTTAAAGCCCATTAAACTGTAGTCACAGCTTACTAAAAATAAATACGTGCACAAAGAGACAGCCTCACGGACTAGAAGTTTCCACCAATTCGTACGCTATTCGGGTCTACACTTCAACGCACAAGCTGGCAAGAGCCTTAATCCATGCTAGTTAGGCAATGAACGATTAACGAGCATGGGAAGATGACAAACAGCTAGGAGACGAAAGAGAGACCAGAGATCACTGGGTTCAGATAAGTAACTGCATTTCAAACATACAAAATGGTAGTGAAATGAGTGAATCCAAGACATGTCCAATATGGCCAAAATATGAGATAGAGCATAGATTGTAGCTTTTAAGGATGTCTTATGTATATAGCGTTAGAAATAGGTTGGAGAACCCTCCAGGAATTGTCCGTCTTAGCGTATGACATATATTGCGTAGAGGGTCATTGGGCAATAGACTCATGGAAACACTCGAAACATGTAGGTCCCGGACACCAGCATTGTTGTCGCACTGCCTCTCGAGCAATCCTATTTTCCACTTCCCTCGATATCATGACATAGTACAGTATCTATAACCTAGAGGCAACAAGAGTTAGAAATACACAGGAAGCATTACTTGACTGAGCGTAGTAACCTCAACTCACATCGGAAACTACACAGCATCTGGGCGCTTTCCCGGTACCTTCGCAGCTTTTTTTGAATTCACCTCGAGTCGCGGGGGCAAGTTCCGGGGGTATGCAGCTATCGCCAGCACCGGCACCACAACATTGTGGGTTGCTATACAAACCGTCGGGACAAGGAGGCTCGTTGTCGCCATTGACACTGTCAAAAGCCGAAACTAAAGTAGAGGCTAAGAAAAAGGCAACAATTGAAAAAGTCTTCATTTTTTGGGCGAAAAGGAGCAATCGAAGAAGGAAGAAATATGAATACAGAGAAAATACTTCTGCAAGCAACCTTGAAATAACTCTATATTTGAGCAAAAGTGACCAACGAGTGCAAGATATGCAGTACGAGGACAATCAGAGGTGCTATCAATTATATGAAGATATTGGATTGGAAACAGAACCAATAGCTTGGGGACCAAATCCCCAAGCACTTCGGGCTCTATATAGGTTGTGTGATGGGTCTGTTCAAGCGCCACAAGAGACAGCTCTATTGTCGGAATATCTTTTGAGATGTATTTGGCCATTGGTACCCCGTAGTTGGTGACCATATGACAATTCTAGGACTTATACGCCGATCAAGCTACACCGATCATGCAATTAAAGTTCAATAGGGGGTGATCAAAGCTAATAGTCCATGTTGGCACCTTTGACTACACGTAGTCTGCAAATTACTACTCTGGACAACTCACTTAAATCAATTGGGAAAATACATCAAAAATAGGACTCAAGAAAAGACACCTTTTCGTGTGTTTTACTATCTAGGGTAGAAGATCGTTCCTCTTTCGCTACATGGTAATTGAGCTCTATTGTAAGGCCAGAGTTGACCTCTACTACCTTGAATATTCCCATGGATATGTGTGATATGATAGTAACACGATAGCCACATATATCAGGAGAAAATTATTCTCATTTATCGAGTCAATCACACCTAATCTACTTCCATAGAGATCAAGGTTAATAGTAAGATTAAAAGAAGCTAAATCGTAAATCAATATATTAAGAACTATTTAAGGATTCATATTAGATGAAGTATGTAGAAACGAATATTCACAAAACACAGTCGAGAGCGAAGCTGGTTTCCAATCTGAGATACTGAAGCTGACTCTGACAAAACTATCTGGGCTAAGGCTTTAGAGCCAAACTGGCTTGCACCTCTATCTGTCCCGGACTTCGTCGGTATCCATCATAAAGACGAAGGCACAGCAAGAGTTTCGACTCCACCTATATACGGTTGAGTGGGAAGATTAGGTCCAGTGTCGCAATACCTCGGGCCGAGTATTAGGTCATCCAACTATATAAACTTGGCCAATATTCGTTGCGCATCACCTGATAAGGACAGGCTTTAACGCATTGTTAGATACGATGGTGAGTTTGTTCGAGAAATTGGATTTCTCAGATTCGAACCCTGGCAGGGTCAAGTTAAGGTATATATGTAACGGTAGAACGGGATTACATCGCATCAACCACAGTCAATTTTAGATAGCAACAGCGCTGAGAGCTGAGATACGGATAATCATACAACTGAAAGCGAGGTAGATCACAAGCAATAATCTCTATTCACAATGGTATCATCACATCTGTACAGGGCGGATTGATGTCATTGGCTCGTCAGGTAGCTGTTGAATGATGGTCCCCGAGAGCTTTTAAACTAGGAAAACTGCATCTGCAGTAATGGTCGAAACGCTGAAAAATCAAACACGCAATTCGCTAAAATCACACGAGTCCTTGCCGAAAAGATACCGTCATCGTTGATCACCAGTGGCAAATGCCTCCTTCACTGTCGTCTGCTGCCCAGGTCCCCGACAACCCGACAACTTGCAGATGACCGTCAGGATGCTCGCCGACTTTGCTTAGGGCTGCAAAGCTGGCTTCGGCGGGTGCATTACTCAGAAGACGTCGAGCCCACGCATCGATGGCCGGCTCGCCAGTCTCATCTCGTGCTTGTTTAAGGAATGGAATTAGAGCGGTACCTCCCGTTCCTCGTAGCTTTTTATTCTTTCCATCACCGTTGCGAGTGTTCGCTAAGTTTGTGGTGGAGGCATGCCTACGTGGACTGGAAGACCGAGGTGCCCGGCCCTTGGCATCGCGGGATGGAATGATGATGTAGCGGGATACCATCTGGATGTGTTTGTCCCGCAAGGTCCGGAGCATAGAAAGACAAGCGTCGTATGCAATGCACAATGCTTTGTCTGAACGACGAGCCTCCACATACTCCCGAATATTGGCCACTGTGGATACATGCTCTAGGAAACGACGGTGAGGCCCTGGCATATACGACCTCATCTCGTGGATGAAACCGTGGCGGGGTGCCCCTGTAACTCCTTCTTTGTCATCCGTATTGTTTTCAGAACGAGTTTCTCCGGTAGGTCGGTGTTCCACTCCCAGAGCAATATCCCAAAACTGAATCAAGGAGCTCTGAGCATTACTGCCACCTCCGTATTGACGATACTCGGGCTTTGCGCTCCCGTCGTCATATAGCAGACCATGAGGAAGCCCCGCATCGGCCATGTTTTTGCTGCCAGCAAGATAGGGTCGGATCCGGTGGTAGAACACATACGGATCACAATTCTCGTACATACGTTCTAGCAGCGTTCCTACTTCATCTATGACTTCTGCGAGCCTTTGGAGGGATTCTGTCACCACCAGGCTATTTCCAGTTCGGGCTGCAGCAATTGCTTGCAGCGCCAGCGCCAAAGATGGCGCACCCCGAGCCTCAATGGCAACAGAAATGAGGTAGAACCATTGTTCATCCAATGAACCTGTGAATGTGTTCAGACAACTCAAGTTACTGAGGTCGTCTGCAGCTTCCTCGGGGAATATAGACTTGTAGTTCCATAGACACACCCCTGCATATGTAGCAACTGGAGGGAGTTCCAAATGTTGGCAAACCTCGAGCAAGGGTACGGTGAGTTGAGGGGGTACTCTCTGGCGAGAGTTAGTATGAACCGTACAGAAGAAACCATACGCGTGACTTACTTCAGACGGTTTGCTGCCTCCCCAGACGTATCCGTGGAGGATGAATCCTAGGACAACATAGGCCCTTCTCCATTCACCTTCTGACTGAAGGTAAGACGCGGATAAGGTAGGCATCTGGTCCACAACATCCCGGATCCTCCTACTCAGCAAGAGCGATTGTAAATTCGAAACCATCCACTCCCACCGAGCATAATAGGGGTCAGGTAAGACGTCAAGAGGTGGCTCGGGAGGGAGAAAGCCATGGTCTGGCGAAATGCCGTAGTCTGCTAGGGCTGGAACCGGTGGAAGCATGGTGACTATGATGAGGGACAAATCCCAGTAACGGATTCAACGGTGCTGACGTCTTAACACAGACACCAAAGAGCAAGATGGCCAAGGTAGTACTGACGTCAAATTAGTCTTATGAAAACAGCCTATATGGCCAGGGAGTAGAGGACATACATTCTCAAAGTCTAGTGCGTTAAAGATTGTGGTCGCGTGACCCCTTGGATTAACAATCCGTAAGATTAAGGCTGAGCCACGGGTATAAAGAGTATCCAGAATGAAGGAAGGCTGATGTCAGATCAGAAGAATATCTCAGATCCCATCGAAAAGCTGGCAATGGATGGTCACGAAAGAAGGCCGGGGGTTCCGGGTTTCTCCCGGTAGTTGTCAGTGAAACACCAGCCAAACCTGTGGGTGTGGCAAGAAATGGAAGAGGAACAGGGAAAAGAAGGAAGGAAAACAAATGGTCCACGGTGAAGACGTGACGAGGAACCTTAAATGAGCCAGCCAGAGAAAAAGCCTCACGAAAAGACCGACGAAGACCCGTGGGAGATCGACGGGAAATGACGAGAATTAATCAGCGGTTAATGACGAGGGTGCCACCGGACTCCTGAGACCGGGATAATAGGCACGGGGGGGATAATCCCCTCCGTTACCGTTGCTCGACAGAGAGGCGTGGCCTAGAGGCCTGTTGGATGCGCAATAAAGGGCATGGGAGGGAGTGGGCCAACTGCGACTACAGAGCACGGAATAAATGGGCAGGCATACTGTTGCCGCCGACCCGGATGGGGTTGTAGTATCGATATGGTCTTCATTGGTTTCAGGAGGGTGAGGTGGCGCTGGGCTTCCAGAAAGTCGAGCAGTAAAATAGAAGGATCAAGATCGACTTTGGAGGGAAGAATAGTGTACCATCGAGGTGTCAACTAGAGCTTCAAGAGCTTGATCTATATAAGTATATACTCTATCTTGATCCCAGACCAGCGGAGAGCATTGGGTGCAAGCGAAAGGGGTGTCCAGTCACGTGCACTAGTCTGAGTGCTAGAGAATGAACCGGAAGCCGCTTCCATGGGCGGTTGAGTGCGATTTCGGACCCGCCGGTTGCAATTAAGCGAGAGTCTACGCATGTTCGCTCACACCCACGCCACCCCATTGAGGTCTGCGGTGAATCCAAGGGGCCGGACTTCCCGCCCCGTTATCAATCAGCTTATTCAAACCTCGGTGACCGTGGCTGTTAACCCCGGAGTAACTCCGACGCAAATGAACTTGAAGTCATCACTCACTTTGGCCGCATCCAGTCTAGTTTTCTTGCAGTGTTCTGGTACATAGCAAAACAGATCACCTAAAATTTCACACAAAGATGGGTGAAGAACAGGACATCGTGAGTTATCGTCATGTTGGTTCATCTATCAGCGAGCTGCAAAGAACAAACTTGAAATCCAGGAAGAGTATTCCAAGATCTTGAACTACAAACTGTAAAGCTATCTGAACTGTCTGTGCACTAGCATGCCGCTGCAGGTTTGCTTTTCGACCCCTCCTTAGGTTTGTTGTTTCATGATACTGCCACTGGAAGGCCGGTTTGTCCGATATGATGCATTCTACGGTCTGGGTGATCTTATACCATGTGCAATGGCGTCATATTGTCTCTGGACTTGGGCTGACTAGTTCAACTTGCAAATAAACCACGCTTAGGAAGCCAACCGTCGTCCGAATAAGATTCATTCTTTATACAAATTACTCAGAGATCGTCATCCATCCGTAGTGCTATCCCAGCTAACGCCATCCCATGGGAAATAACGGGAAATTTCAAGACAGAAAGTATAAAACAGAGAGAGAGAAGAAGAGATCCAGATCGGTCTTCGAGCAACCAAAAGACCTATTTAGACGGCCACTTGAAGGATTAGGGAACCCCGCCCGAGGTATATTACAGTTTAATGTTGACTCCATTCGATCGTGTTCAGATCTATACCTTCCTGCACCAGCTCCCACAGGGGGCTCAGCTCGCGTAGGAAATGAACGCGATCCTGTACCGCCTTGAGTACGTAGTCGATTTCGCTATCCGTAGTGAATCGTCCAATTCCAAAGCGGATACTGCTATGGGCGCTCTCGTCACTGCTACCCAAGGCACGAAGGACGTAGCTGGGCTCCAATGACGCAGAGGTACAGGCACTACCCGATGACAGAGCAATGTCTTTCAAAGCCATCAGAAGAGATTCTCCTTCGATGTAGGCAAAGGAAATATTGACACATCCTGGGTAGTGATGTTCAGGATCTCCGTTAAGGTGTGTGTGTTCCATGGATAGGAGGCTGTCGGTCAGGCGCTTCGACAAACGATCAATGTGCTTAGTATCATACTGCCAATTCAATTAGCGATGTTCACTGATGCATAGTCGTATGAGGCAAACAAAATAAACAAAGCAACAGTCAACTCATCACCCCTGCTGAGACGTCATAGGCCCATGGGTCACGCGTTAGGCGTGCAGCTACCCCCACCGGCCTCAGAAACCCATATTTGCAGTATATAATCATCGGAAGACCGAAAAGAAATTGCACGCGTAAGAGGAAAAGAAAGAAATACAACGTACCTCCATGTCCTGGGCGGCGAGACGGCAGGCCTCACCGAACCCAACCACCTGATGAGGAGCAAGAGTACCACTGCGCAGGCCTCGCTCCTGCCCACCTCCAGTAATGAGGGGATCAAGACGGACCCTGGGACGACGTCTGACATAGCAAGCCCCAATACCCTTGGGGCCGTAAATTTTGTGGCTCGAAATAGACATCAAATCAATATTCAACTTATTCACATCCAACGGGATCTTTCCCACAGCTTGTGCAGCATCCGTGTGGAAGAAAATCTTCTTGGAGCGGCACAGCTTTCCAATCTGTTCCAGGGGCTGGATGACACCGATCTCATTGTTGACGGCCATGATGCTGACCAGGGCCGTTTCAGGGCGAATGGCCGCCTCGAGATCTTCCATTCGAATCAGACCGTTGTTCTGCACGGGGAGATAAGTAACTTCGTAGCCCTCATCCTGAAGATGCCGACAGCTGTCAAGAACACACTTGTGCTCGGTCTGCGTTGTGATAATGTGGTTCTTTTTGCCGGAGCGCCCGAAAAACCTCGCCACACCCTTAATGCTCATGTTGTTACTCTCGGTAGCACCGCTAGTGAAGATGATCTCTTTTGAGTCCGCGCCGATCAGCTTGGCGATATGCTCTCGGGATTGCTCGACCGCCTTTTCCGACTCCCAACCGTATGCATGGGTTCTCGAGTGAGGGTTGCCGTAAATTCCGGTCAAAAATGGGAGCATGGCGTCTAGGACACGGGGACCGTTGGAGTTGTTGCTTGCATATCGAGATATATCGGTCGCGCTCCTTGATCCATGACAGTGGCCTGCTTGAGGATGCCGGCAGACGGGCTCATCGAGCATCGCCGGAAACACCAGAACTAGGGAGCTCCACCTTCTGCGACTGCACCCCAGTTTGTTTCATGAAATCCTTCTGCTCCTGCTTGATGGCGGTATCTACCGAAACCTGAGCATTTCCAGCTTTGGTTTCGGAGACATAGAACCGTCTGGATGGAGTGGCGAGCACCCGTCTGGGTAGGGCGGAAGTGAAGGAGCCATGCTGCATCGATGGCAGTCGACGAGCGTAGGCGCGAGTTGCCTGTCTCAGGGCTGATTGGGTAACATTAGACATCATTGAGATGGATCCGCAACTGTGCCATATACGATAGACAGTTGGTGATAAGAGGAGACGGAGGGAAAGGGAGAGCGAGAGACGGGAAAAACTTTGGGTACGGTTATATCATTGCCGAGCCCACTAAGCCCGATCGGATTTATCAGATAGTCCGAAGGTGCTTTCCCCTTTAGGAACCGGCATCGGGTTTTTGAGATAAACGATACGATATACGGTATAACCGGTAACACCTTTGATGAAGTATGGAGATAGTACTATTTATCTTGGAGTAACTCTCAATATGGTTTTCATCAATGGTAACATGGTCCGAGATTTCAGTATATATTCTGACAAATATATGCGATCAAGGCACAGATAATGACGCGAAGGATCACGTGGGGTAAAATAACCGGGATAAATCTGCAGCTCTCCGCGGAAAAGTCCCGTCTGCACTAGTCTGGTAATTGTATCCCATTGATGATAACATACCTCCGTTCAAGACGAGTTGTAAGATTTCCAGTGTCAGCTTATTGTGGGGAATTCTCAAAGCAGTTAAAGTTGACCCGGAGTATAATGCAAATGATGCAAACCACGGGAGGATCAGGGAGGGCAAGGAAAAACAGTTCACCCCGAGGATCACTCAGCCCTGTTGTGCCAGCTTTTGGATACTCTGGTGCCTAATTCATTAGCACCTAGGGATGAACCCCCGAGATCCGCCTGTATTTATTAACTCGGCATTGCTAACCCGGCGCTTGTGCCACACCTTTGAGGCCCTCCAATATACCATACTCACAAGAACAAGAACAATAAGTAGACTCAAAGCTGTTTTTATTCGAAACTACCGATCTTATATTTCTTCCCGTTAGGTATCTGGCAAAGCTGCACTAAGGTCGAAAGTGCAGCCAGCTGCCTATTCTCCGAGAACGAGGTCTTATGTCATAGCACAGCCACAGCGCCGAGCCAAACGAACTGAAGTCTAACCGTCACCGGCTCTCCGCCGCCCTACAAGCCCCAAGGCACTGCGCCGAGCGAAAGATTACTTCCCCCACCTCCGCCGCGCTTCTTCCTTCTCCTTCCCTATTAACTGCTTTGAATCATACCTCTTACCTGTTCACTTGTGGCTGACTTGCCAGCGTCTCTGTTTTTCTTCTTCCTTGTCCCGATTCCTTCCGGAGTACTTCGCTGCCTGCGACAGAATCAAACATGAGTTTGAAGGGCTTTCAGAAGAGCATTGTCCGAGCGCCACAACAGTTCAAGGCCAAATTCAACATTGGCGAACACACGAAGGACGTAGTTTATAGTGATGCGGAGCGGCGTTTTCAAGAACTCGAGAAGGAGACTAAGAAATTGCACGATGAATCAAAGAAGTACTTTGATGCCATTAATGGTACAATCCTTCATCCCTCTCTAGCGCCTGCGTTGGCCTAATTTGTCTCGCTAATGGACTCTATAAGGCATGCTCAACCATCAAATCGAATTCTCCAAGGCCATGACAGAACTATACAAGCCGATCTCCGGCCGCGCATCGGATCCAAGCTCGTATACGATCGAAGGCAACCCCGAAGGCATCCGGGCTTGTGAAGAATACGAAGCGATTGTACGCGAACTCCAGGAATCTCTCGCGCCCGAGCTGGAAATGATTGAAAGCCGCATCATCAGTCCTGCGGATCAGTTGCTGGAGGTCATTAAAGTGATCCGCAAAGTTGCAGTAAAACGAGACCATAAGAAGTTGGATTATGATCGGCATAGGGCCTCCCTCAAGAAACTTCAAGATAAGAAAGACAAGTCTCTCAAGGACGAAAAAGCTCTCTATAAGGCTGAAAACGATGTGGAGCAAGCCACTCAGGAATATAACTACTATAACGACTTGCTCAAGGACGAGCTGCCGAAGTTGTTTGCTCTCGAGGCGGAATTCATTCGACCACTATTCCAGTCGTTCTACTACATGCAACTGAACGTCTTTTACACTCTTCATGAAAAAATGCAGGGGATGAACATTGGCTATTTCGACCTCACGTTGGACGTTGAGGAAGCGTACGAAAATAAGCGCGGCGATGTCAAGGAACGTGCTGAAGAATTGACCATCGTTCACTTCAAGACAAAGGGTATCCGCCAACAGAACTCGAAATTTGGCAAGGACAAGTTGGAAAAGGAAAATAAGTTTTCCCCTCGGCAAAAGGATCCCGACGTCGTTGAAAACCCTCCCCCTCCTTATTCTGCTGCAACAAGCGGCAGCAGCTTTGTTGCGGCAGCCAAATCGAAAGCGAAGCCAGCTCCTCCACCCCCGAAGCCGAAGCCAGCAAGGTTCGCCGCACCGGTGGAAACGGTCACAGCACTGTATGATTATGAGGCGCAAGCACATGGCGATCTCAGTTTTTCCGCGGGAGATGTCATCGAGATTGTGCAACGGACAGACAACCAGAACGAATGGTGGACTGGTCGCGTCGATGGACGGGAAGGACAATTCCCTGGTAAGCTCTTTATTCTGCATTGCTGGCTTTATACCGCGACTAACCATTACCAAAGCAAACTATGTTCAATTCAGTTGATCCGATCCTCCTTCCACGCTATATATCGCTTCTAATCTCGTTCTTGCGAATGTCGTTTTAGTGTAGCAGGAGTTTGCGGTGTAGCATGATCTCCCCGCTTGCAATTCTTATGTTTCATAGTCGCTTGCTTTACTCCAACTCGTCTTGCATATTCTCTATTGCGTTGCATAGACTTTTGCATGGTAATACTCGTTCACATGTATATATTAATTTTTGGACATCGTTCCTTCACCCAATCAACATCAACATTGAAAGGATCAAAATTTTCTTTCAAAGTAAACTTCCTGTCCAAGCTTGTTAGACTGTAGGCATCTACATAAGAAGGTTAATAGTATCATACATTTCGTGTCTAGAGTCCGCCATCCTCAGCTTGAAGACTAGAGACGAGGTACTATACAAGGAACTATGGTACTAAACTGTTGAGTTCCTCAAAACGTATTTTCTTTTTCGAGAAGCAGTTACTAATTAGAACATCAACCTAGGGATATAGCACACGAAAAATTCGTCCTCAGTTCACAAAATTAAAACTGGAAAGGAGTACAGCTCCACTATTAAATTTATCTTCTATGTTGATAGGGTTCGAAGTGAGAAAAGGAGATACAAGGACACCGCAACTTTGTTGTTTCATTGTGCCTGGAGGTTTGAGTCACGACGGGTCTATTGACTCACTTTTTCAACGAGCTCACACGAAGATGATATATAGCCGATGATATGTGCCATGCTAGGGAATGGAACCTTACTATGATGACTCGATGAGCAGTGCACAGAATCAAAGACCCCAGGGAGTATTCAAGAAAGATGCACGATACAAGAGCAACATAATCACCAGCAACCCTACAGACCAAAGGCCTATCAGTAAAATGAGATCGAGATCCTTCTTGTGGTTCTTTTCAGCTTTTACCGTTTCAATCTCAAGAGTGAGCTTCGCCATTTTTCTTTCGATAAGGATCCCTTCGAAGTTTTCCTCAACAAACTTGGTAAGCACACTAGGGACACTCTCTATATCCTTCACTTTTCCCTGGCTTATGTCAATACAGTCATGTATACCAAATTGGAGGTGCTTATACTTACAACTTCTTCTAGACTCAGATTGTGGTAGTCCGGAGTCTCAGTCTCGAGTCTGACGTGATAACGCCACAAGCAGCCATTGGCGCGTAATGAGCCATTGCATTTCGAGTGTCTCAAGTACCTCTCTCACCATACGTTTTGCGCTTTCCTCTTTTTTACCAACGAGTAGGGGGGTCTGTGATCAAGTTAGACCTTGTTTGTCAGTTGCGATACTTCGTTTATGAGGGTGTGGTCTACTTGCGCTTTTGCCCCATTTTCTGTGAGGTTGGGTCATTTTACCGATTGGAGAACCTATTATGTCCTTGGTTGACCTGACTGAGATACAAGAGTACTATTAGAGAGAATGACTTGGCCTAAAGGACGGTTGGTAATAAGTGTAGGATGCAAACTCTAGCAGTTAGGTACTGTGGCTAGAAAGGGGTGGACCTTTTGTAGTCGAGGATACACAAAGGGGAATGGTTTGTATTGGTAGGCAGTGTCTTATAGATTACTTCCGGACAAAGCCGATTATCTCTTTGTCTTGGTCTTTTGCTGTGTCAAAGCCTTATCATGTATAGACTTTTCCAGGGCACACCAAAGACAATGGAGATCCAAAGCCTGTAACGGACAATCTCCTTGTCAACTACATGCTTGACTGGCCACCCTTTCTTTCTTTGTTTCATGTATACTAGCAGGGCCTATTGATAATGCAAGGCCTGAAGACCCAAATTAGTACTGTGATGAGAAGGAAGTAGTTGCAAGCCACCTACGTGATAATCGCGGTGATTCTCCTGCGAAATTCGTCCTGGTCCTCATCCTCCATCCAATCCTTGTTCTCAAAGCTGGCTGGGAACCACTTTTCTGCCTGTATATACGATGATTGCGGGGAGCCCGATGCCATGATGCAGAAAATGTCTTTCATGTTTTGGTACTGGCGAAGGTCATCGCCATATTCGTCCCCTAGATCGCAGAGTTCCGCACAATGGAGTATCAAGGCTGCAAGACCTGATGCCACAGCGGTTGCGAAGGAGCTTCCCAATACCACCGCGGAGTTTGCACCGGTACTACCTTCCTCACGCTGCCGAACATTGGTTACGCTGCTCCCGCCAGGGAAGAGAAATTCATATCCTTGGGAAAGGTCATCCGGCACTCCGCTGTCTCTTGCCGCGCCGACGCGGAAGACACCTGGTGTCTTGCCTGGAAACGGGATATCAGGCCGGTTAAATCCTTGATCGGTAACTGGGGCGAAAGTGAGGATCTTATTATTGTGGGCTTCGTCAATTACCTCACTTAGCTTTCTTGACTCTGTATCACGCAGTTCAGGAAATGTTGAGCTCATTGAGATGATATCCACACCGATTGCCGTAGCCCAGGAAATTGCCTAGGAAGACAATCATGGTTGTAAGAAACATGCCCCTAAAACCCTACTCAAGCTATTGACTTACTTTTATTGCTGATTCAATTGTAGGCACTCCGTCAATCCCGTAATCAAGCCGAGCGATGTAGAGCTTGACATTAGGGCATAGGCGGAGAATTGTCTTCGCCATTAAGGTGCTTTTGTCATTTGAGGGGAGGTACCATGGCAGGGTACTGATGGTGCTTCCGTACTGAGATGTAGAGAAGGATATGCCACTGATTATACTATCCTCGAAATTTTCTTGGATCTGGCCCACCCCATGACCAATAACTGCGACCTTTACAACACGGCTGATTTCAGGGGTGTTCTTGACGAATGTCACAAATCTGTCCATATTATCTAGCCAAGGGTTTCTTCTCATTGTCATTTAGTGTCTGAAAAGATTCCGCAGATATGAGATATACTTACCTTTCACGTATGTCCTCGCTTAAAAAGTAAGAATAGTTGTCGTCTTCCGACTTGAAGCGAAAAGAAATTTTGATTTGGGGTTTACCCTTGTCTCTATTCTCTTGCAATCTATTAGTGAACTCCTTTAGGTAGCAGTTTATCCGCTCTATCGTTTCCAGCCGTGGCTGTACAACTATTTGAACATCTGTTAACTGAAATTAGGCAAGTCAGTGTGGAATAGGTAAGGGTGTATGTGGGAAGCTGCCTTACCTTCTTTAGAGCATTCAATCCGTCTGGCGCTGACCAACTGCGGAGAACTGCTTTATTTCCTGTTGAATATAACGTTATCTTTCGGGCATTTCCAGCTGCTTTAAGGACGACTCTGCTGCACAAATCCGTCCGTCGCCAGTCCCATTCTTCAATGCCAAATTTCTTGAGCGTCTCGAGCATCTCATCGCTATATGGACAATCATCATTATCATCATCAACCTTGACACTGAGGATCTTCTTCACACCCTGCTCCCATAAGATTGTAAATATGTCCCCTGTATGAGCAATTTCCGCGAACTGCTGCTGGTTCAGAGTATTGTGAACGCTGTTTTGACGTCCTGGCCGAACCGCACTAAAGGATGGGATCCGCACGAATTTCAGAATGCTCTCAAACTTGAGCCCGCGGACTAGGCGCTTGACAGTAGTCTTGGTCACTGTGACCCCGGCGATTCCAAGTTCTGTCAAATCTAAGTTGATCTCCCGCCCTGCTGAAGTTCTCAGTCCAACATTATCTCCCAAAAAGAAATTTACGGGGTGTGAGAGAAATAAAGGATAGATGGACCACGCACTATGCACTTTTCCATAAAGAAGAGATACTATCATTTCGTCGTCATCAAGGTTCATAGTCTTCTCTCTGAGTAGTGTGAGGATTTTGTCATCCCTCAGACCTTCCGCTCCCTCCCCGAGTCCTAATGAAGGGTCGCTTTCCACCGCTGGAATTCTTAACCTAGATGCATGGAAGGTACGAATCCGGTGCTGGTATGCGGATTGATTATCATTATTTGTCCAGGTGATGGCGGATTTGCAGTATGTGAGTAAGTTGTGTATCAGGATCATGCGCTTCTCATTCCGCAGTTCGATGTCAAATGAAAATCCCTCCTCCTCGCTATATTCGCTCACAAGGTGCAGAATTGAGTTCTTTTGGTCATCTGTAGCCATGAGGGCTGCTGGGCTCATGTTCGCAAATATATCGTTCGAACAATTCCGGTCAATCATGACAGGGAGAAGTTCCAGAAGCATGTTGTTATCCAACTCAAGCATCTTTGCAGTTTGTGTGGGATAGTCTTGTAAAAAGTGTGCTACAAAGTTTATGGAGCTGGACATCGAACTGGCCTCGGCCAATAGACTCGGATTTCGGGTTCGGTTTCCTACCATCAGATACATGTTTGGATACTTCCACATCACCCAATTGAAGACTGAGGCCGTAAACATATGCTTGGTTGGTATTCTAATCAGCATACTCAGAAAGTCCTGACCATTCACACCGGGCTTAGAAAGCGATTCTCCGATGTCAGTTTCCTCGGCCAGCCACTCTTCGAACATATGTATGGGTTTTTTCCCTGGCAACCCATCATGACTATGAACCGTGCGTTGTTGTTCAAGAAGCTCCCAATCCTCATCGAGGTCTGTCTCAATACTCTGCAAGAAGTAACGACATGAGCGACTGCTTGCTCTGCGCTTAGTGGTGAGGGACTAACTTGCTTCCAGAGTTTCCTGAACATTCTGATAGCCATCATATGATGCTTACTGACTATATGTTCTGGAAACAGATCATCTTCAAGTCCTTCGGTGTATTCTTGGTGTGCTGGGTACTTTGTACTGCTGGTAGTGGGCGTCTCAGTTCGTTGTCCTCCGGAAAGTAACGAGATCTCGCGCCGCTTTGTTAAGATCGCGCGCTCGTGGATGTAGTAGTCAACTAGGAGGTTAGTTAACAACATCTGAGCTTCATATTAGCCCTTGAAACCTTACCATCACTACTATTGTGGATGTATTCGCGCTCAGAATCAAGCTTGAGGCTTGCAACCTCACCTACAGCCTCGGAGGCTGGCAAAACTGCCATAGTTCAGGAGAGTTCTAGGGTGACGACGCAACGGCAGATGTAACGATACTGATCTCTTCAAGAATTAATTCTTGTATATTTATTAACAATGACCGAGAGACTATCAATCAGTGTATAAAGTTAAAGGGGAGCTGGGAGCAAACGAGGTTCTTAAACGCTTTCTCATCTAGAAGAAAGCCGAGTCACCATCTATAACCCTGGCTCGGCGCTTAAATAATGCCACGCTCAATTGCCATTAACGAATGGGTGAGAGTCAGCTAAAAATAACACAGATATCTTTTGAAAGCGCTTCACGCCAGCAAGGCTGACACTATTGCTCAGGGTTAAGGTCCTCGTACAATATTCATTGTTAAATCGAGCCACTTTCGCCATTATTCCACAACTCATTACCATCCTTACACTGAGTTCATCAGAAGTCTAGTTCAATTTCAAAACAATGAAACAGTCCGTTCAGCTCGACATTCCTCTCTTCGCCGAGGGCACCAAAGATGCTTCGTTCCGCCTCCGCAACCAACCCGGCGAGCTGCAGCGCGCTCATATCATGCAGGAGGGCTCCGACCTCACCGTCCAGGCGAACATAACCAGTGTGCTTCATGGAACACTGACCCCAGACGGCGACTACGCTACCTTGCTGGTAATCGAATATCGCTTCCAGGGCTCTTTGACCAGGAGCACACGGTTCAAGTCAGCCATGATCAAGGTCAAGTTCACTACAACTGAAGACGACCTCAGAGGACGACCAATAGTTCGAAGCGTGGCACCAGACGGAACGTTCTTCCTCAACTCAGAGACGGCAGATATCACAGACACCCTTTCGGCAAACGGTTCCGCCAAAGTCGGCGCAGGACCGGTCATCCTGGGAGTCGACGCCGGGTGGGAGAGAAGCACGTCCGTCAAACGCGAATCACATACCACGCTGGTGGGTACTACCTGGATCGACGGCCGTGACGCAGGCAAGCCCAACATGGGCCGGTGGAAATTGACCGAGAACAAATCGAAGAAGGACGGTATCCCCAGCATGTTGCGCACTGCCATCTTGGTTACGCAGAAGGTTCCGCTGGCGTTTCAGGCTATTGTTAGTATTCAGACAGAAGCTAATCTGGCCTACGCGCTCAAAAAGGAGGCGAGAAGCTTTATTGGAGGGAAGAAGGTCGACATTGTCGATCCAGTCAATTTTGCCGCCGGGGAAGCCCGTCAGTCTGTAGGGGTTGGGCTTCCGGGCGTAAGTTGGATCACTTGGCCGACTGCGACTTGCATAAGCTTCAGGTGGCTGTTCAGGGGGAGACGTCACTAGGCGCCAAACAAGGCGTCGTGTCGTCGGTAGAGGACGGTTCCACTGCTTTGTCTGTACCGTCATATCATGCTTGGCTTATTTTTGTTTTGTTTATCCTTTTCTACTAGTACTCATATCCATTCGCAATTTTCTTCTCTGGCATGACTGTGTTTCTTGACAGGGTATATTCCCGTCAAAAGCTGTATGATCAAGGACATTTATATATACGTGACAACGGTGTTCTCTACTAAAGACAACACTACCACGATAGCCCTATCTGTAACATCGTACTCAAATGATGGATGTACTATTCCCAGTATTAACGTGCGGTTGATAGCTTAACCGCTGTTTAATAACTATCTATCTCCAGGGTGGCAGCATGTATGACTTAGGGCTTCATCTACTTAGCCGCCGGGTATACCAGGATAAAGCACAAACGTCATATAAGGTGACAAAGGTCATATTTATAGTATCACTTGGGAATTGTCATCTACTCCTAGCGCTTAGAAGAATAAACAAAAGTGCACATCCTCATAATCCCCTTCCATACATAGCTCGCCAACTCCTCTCCGGTATGTTGATGCCTCATCCCTCAGGCAACAAAGAAGCACCCCACCAAGCAACCTCCAACCCAGTAACTTTTTTTCCAACACCCCTCACCACAATCAATCCCATACCAACCAAACCAAGCCAAACTACACCTCAAGCCACGAACCCAACCCACAAACAAGCAACACATCAATTCAATCCAACTCATCCAAAAGACTCACCACCCAAGATGGCCCAAGACCCCTACACCCCACCACCCCTCCCGAAAACCTTCACAAACACAACCCCACCACCGACGCTCCTCACGCAAGGCGCTGAAGCGCACCTGTACAAAACAATCCACCTCAACACCAACACGCCCGCGGCGCTGAAAATCCGGCCCTCGAAACCCTACCGCCACCCCATTCTCGACCGCCGATTGACCCGCCAGCGCATCCTACAGGAAGCGCGGTGTCTGGTAAAGCTCGTTCGGGAGGGGGTCAATGTCCCCGCTGTGCTAGCGCTGGACTGGGAGGGACAGGGTGGGGAGAATGGGAATGGAGGCGCGTGGTTGCTTATGGAGTGGATTGAGGGGTTGATTGTGCGGGTTGTTGTTGAGCGGTGGGAGGCTTTTATGAAGGCTTCTGAGGGGTTGTTGAGTGAGGAGGAGTTGCGGAGGGAGGAGGAGAAGGTTAGAGCGTTGATGAGAGGGATTGGGTGTGTTGTTGGGGGGCTGCATAAGGCTGGGGTTATTCATGGGGATTTGACAACGAGTAATTTGATCCTCAGGACGGGGGTGGTCGATGCTGTGGCTGGGGAGAGTCCCGTCATGCACGGCGATGTGGTTCTGATTGATTTTGGGCTGGCTGGCCAGAGTTCCTCCGAGGAGGATCGCGCGGTCGATTTGTATGTGCTTGAGAGGGCTTTTGGGAGCACGCATCCTCGGGCTGAGAAGTTCTTTGAGGAGGTGCTCGAGGGGTATAAGCATAGTTATAAGGGGGCCGCGGTTACGTTGAAGAAGTTGCAGGATGTTAGAATGAGAGGCCGCAAGAGGAGCATGATTGGGTGAATTTTTATTTACTTTCGTCTCTATATTTATGTGCTATGGGATTACGGGTTATGGGTTGGAGTTGGGATTATGATCCAGGAGTTTTGCGGGAGGAATCATGCTTTCATTCATCGTCAATGACAAACGCCACGCTTTATCGTCACAATGCTGGAGACGAGGTACGCCTCGGATGGGGGGAATCTGGGAATAGACAGACGGGGAATCGGCGGAGGATGGAGAGAGGAGGATCAATCATTCTTCACGAGCCTTGACGCAGGTTCCCATATCGGCCAGTGCGAAATAGCCCTTGTTCTCGACAACGCCGCGGTCCTTGACAACAGCCGTATACTTGACCACCCACTGCGGCTCGACATCACCCTGAATTCCATCGTCCGCATCTGGAGCGGAAGCAAGAATGCCGGCACCCTTCTCGCCCGGACCAAGGAGTTCCCGTGTGGTACCGATGGGCAGGATGTCCATGCAGTCGTTGTGGGTGAGGAGCTGGATATTCTCAGATTTCGCATAGAGAATCAACGATTTCGGCACGACACAGCAGTCCTTGAGGTTGATCTGGTCGACGGAGGGCTTGACCTTCGTATGCGGCAGGAACCGGGCGAGTCTCTCACTGCCAAACTCCGCCACGCCTAGCTGAGAAATCATACCCTGCTCCTTGAGATCCTCGAGCACCCTCCACGTGCGAATCATGCTGTCAAAATCATCTGGCTCCTCACTCCCGGTATCCGACGCCACCTCCTCTTCACTATCATCCTCCGCGTCGAACAAAATCCCAGGGAAAGAAACAATCAATAGATCAATAGAATCCACATGTAGTTCCTTCAAGACCAAATCAATTGCCTCCCTCGTATGCGCACATCGTCGCGACGCCGGAATTCCCGGTAAATAGAACAATTTAACCGTAATATCGTACTGCGCCTTCTCCTCTGCCAGCCCACGCTGCGCGAAGTCAATCGCCGGTATGTAGAGGCCGTCTTCGGTCTCCCGGGTCCAAGCCCGATACCGCGGGGTCGTTGTCGTCTCGGCCGAAGATAATTGTTGCGCCGTCTGGAAATTTGACCGCAGCGAGTTGATCAGCTCCACGTTGGATTTTTCCGTCGAGGCTTGCCGGATTACGGTGTGACCCCCGGACTCCATAAGATTCCTGGCCAGTATTGTTGTTAGTATAACCATATAGATACGGAATTTGCGCGCCGCGGGGTTGAATTCTTTTCGCAGAGGGGTAATCTCAGTTGCCGCAGGGTTATCGCCACTTACGAGGTGGAGAGGATTAGCTTCATGGTCGCTGTTGAATAGCGGACAGGCTATGATAGGGACAGAGTATCGTCTGGTTGGGAAAATGGGGGTTTAGGGGAGGGAGTGAGGGGATTGTCGCGAGGGAAACTTTCGGAGAGTGGCCGTTGAATTGATAAGCAGCCCCGCGGGTGCCCTTTGCCTATTAAATCCGTTTATGGTAATCTATCACATACTCAACTGTCTTCATAATCAATCGCAACTATAGCAAACCATATAATACTTAGAAATGCACAATTAAATCTAGCATAAAAGTATGAATTCACATATTCTATAGATCTACCTCTACCCCCACAACTCTATAAAACCACCTAGTCAAAATCAAGTGTAGGATCCCAATCCGTAGGGTCATACTCCCCCGTAAAAAGTCTCTTCATATCACCCTCATCCAACTCAAAATCAAACACCTCCGCATTCTCCCTGATCCGACTCGGCGTCGCAGACTTCGGCAAAGGCACCAGACCCTACAAATCAACCCTCAATTAGCCCACTGCATCAAAGACCATAACAGAACACCCAAAAGAAAAGATCGGAAACCCCACCCTCTGCAAACACCACCGAATCATAATCTGCGCAGGCGACTTATTATACTTCTTCCCCAGCTCCTTCAGCACCGTCTCACCCATGCGTGTCCCATGTGCAAGAGGCGAATACGCCTCGACAACAATATTCCGCGTCTGAAGCCACTCCACGATATCCTCGCGCGCGCACCACGGATGGATCTCATATTGACCGACGTCAATGGCCCCGCCGCCTCCTTGCTGGATGTACTCCTCCAGCTCGTCCAGATGATGGATCCCATAGTTGGAGACCCCGATTGACTTAGTCTTGCCGGCTTTCTGGGCTTCAACGAGCGCCTGCCAGGAGCCTAGACGGTCTTCTTTGCCGCCGTAGGGGGCGTGGATTAGGATTCTGTTTTTGTATTAGTTATCATTCTATAGTGCGAGAATCGGGTAAATTGTATGCTACATAGGAAGAAATAGAACTCACAAATCGAAATACTCCACCCCCGCCTCCCGGAGACTACTCTCCACCGCGCGCTTGGTCCTCTCATACCCCATAGACCCTGGCGGGATCTTGGTTGTGAAGAAGATTTGCGAGCGGTCTAGGCCAGAGTTTGCGATTGCGCGGCCGCAGGCCTTTTCGTTTCGGTACATAATTGCTGAATCGACCTATGCTATTGTTAGCTTTCGAGTTATGTGTATTTGTAAAGATGGGGGTGTGTACATGGCGGTAGCCGGTGTTGAACGCTTCGAGGACGGGACTTTCGGTTTTGGAGGGAGAACTTTTCGTTTGTTTCTGGTTAGCTTTGAGAAAGTCTTTGAGTTGAGGGTTAGACGGACATTAGGTAGACCTGGGGGGTTGTTAGTGTCTGCTTTTGCGGGGTGTTAACGGTTTATGGGGTATGTTTACTTACGCCGTAGCCGAGGATGGGGATCTCATGGCCTGAGTTTAGGCGGTAGGTTGATTGGAGGCTTTGGGGGATGCCATTGCTGTTTACTGTGGATGAGTGAGTGTATATGGGTGAGAGTGGTTGGAAGTGATGAGGTACAGATGGGGTACTGCTAAGTATGAGATCATTGCGGTGGGGCGCGTATCTGTTAATATAACCCGATTCGGTAAGTGATTCCCTACAGATGATCTACAGAACAGAGGCAGTACTTAGGTAGTATACAGTATAGAACTTCGATTATGAAGTACATATCATCGTTTGATTCATATGGTAACAATAACACGTAGTCAATAGTACAAGGATGGCGATCCCATCCATCACTACCTCAATATCGCTAATGCGCAAAATATCATGAACAGCCAAAAAGACATCCAACGCCCGTTGATGCACTTTTATAAGTAGCAAACTGCTAAACTCATTAGCACTTTTAAATGATACAATCACGTCCGAGCTCTCTTCTTCGATTTGAGAGGAGCTTCGCAGACATTGTTCCAAGTGTCTTCGAATGTCGTCTTCCGGGCTCCGATTTGGCCTTCGAAGAAATTCATCCGACGGACCACTTCCATGGCACCGGTTCCTAGAGACACAGTTTTACCCATGATAATACACTCCGAGACACCCTCGACAAGGTCGGTACGGCCGGCTCCACCAGCGTCGAACAGATGGTCTGCGGTCTTCTCGAAGGAGGCCAGCTGAAGGACAGAGTCACGCATCTTCGCAAGACCGAATCGTGTAATACCCAGGACTTCACCCTTGTAGGTCATGACATCAGCAAGAAGCTGCATGTGTCGAGGATCAATGTCCATGTCCTTCATCACCTCGCTGATTTCACGAACAATGGTCGTCCGGGCGGCTTCAATACCAAGGACCTCGCGCATTTCCATCACGTTATTGGTAGATGTGTGAAGGCCGTCAACACCAATCGTGTTCATACATGCCCGAAGACCGTAACCTTCGACAAGGAGGGTGTTGGTAGTCGACGTGTCATCCGTCCGAATAATCGCACGATAGGCTTGAGGGTGGCCGAGAACCTGGATGTCGGGAAGTAGACGCTTGAGATGCTTCAAACGCAGGAAAGGATCAGCACTTGTCGCAGCAATTTCCGTCTTCGAGAGGCCGAGCTTGCTAGCAGGATCCACATCCATATGGATGTGGATATGTGACCGCTGGCAACGGAACTTCAAGTCATCGGACTTGAAGCGCCTGTGGCTCTTGATGGCAGCCAGGATATCCTGGATCTTCAATTCGAGCGCCAGGTCTTGGATGGTCTTCCAGTTAATCTTGACCGTGATGTATGCCTCTTTGCCAGTCCAGGTCTCTCGGACATAGTGGGTGATATCCCTGAGATACGTCTTCTCAATACGTCCCTTCACAATCCGAGCCGCAATGACATTGTCCTTGGTTACCAGCTCGCAAGACACGACCGGCGTACTGATTTCCTTCGAGGCGTTGATGATTTCCTTAATACGAGGAACACCCTGTGTGATACTCATACCAGCGACACCAGCAAAATGGAAAGTCTTCAGTGTCATCTGTGTACCGGGTTCACCGATAGATTGCGCACCAACAGCTCCCACGGCGTGACCGGGCTCAACCTGGGCCTTCTTGTACTTCATTAAACATGCAGAGATGAAGGTCCTGAGCGTCGTCTCGGTCAATTTGCCTGTATGGTTCAAGCCCTGCTGACTCCTCTCATCCGAAGGATCAATATCACCGCCTCGCGAGATCAATTTGTCTGCTTTGCCGGAAACATATTGCTGAATGGACTCGAGGAAGTCGCGTGCACTTTCGAATTGGTCAACACCGTGGTTAGACCGGTCCATGTAACCAAGTTCCACCTCGAGCAAGTCTTTCCGGACCAATTTAGCGCGCTCCTTTGAGAGCATCTCCTCACACACTTCCATGATCTCTGCAGGCTGCAAACTGCGTTCGTCATTATCATAGGTGGTTGCTTCAGAGTGAATGAATGTTCGATCGAAATGAACAGGCTTAGCTTTGCCCTCCATATCCACGGGGTCCAGCTTGTCATCACCATACTGGAACTGAACGATATGGCCGGAAGAGTTCCGCACAGTATCATCGTACCGGGAAGAGAGATCTTCCAAGGACTTCATCAAACGACGCGACATGTAACCAGTCTCGGCGGTTTTGACGGCCGTATCGACCAGACCTTCACGACCGGACATGGCGTGGAAAATGAACTCATAAGGCTCTAACCCAGAGAAGAAACTATTGCGGACGAAACCCTTCGAAGGCGGTTGGCGAGCATTTTTCGGGAAATGAGGAAGTGTTCTATCTTGGAAACCGTCCTGCACACGCTGACCACCAATAATCTGCTGACCGACGAGGGCAACCATCTGAGACACGTTGATACTTGAACCCTTGGATCCAGACGTAGCCATGATCAAAGGAGAATTGTACTTGCTGAGCTGGGCGATACATTCGTCACCGGCCTGCTGTCGGACCTTACTGAGAATACCGGAGATCTTATTCTCCATAGTTTGCAACTCGTCACATCCAGGGAACGTCTCCAGGGTACCCGCCTTGTATTGGGCAATGACCTGGTCACATTGTGCATATGCTGTTTCGACCAAGTCGTGCTTTGACTGTAGCAGCTTCGCGCTTGGATAGACGTCTGTGATACCGATGGAGAAACCCATATTCGTGAACCAACGCGCGGATAACCTCGACAAGCGATTCATGCCCTCTGCTGCTGCTGGAGGACCGAAATCTCTCAGCATGACATAAAAGACATTGTCCTTCTTTCCTGAACCGATAGTAGCTTTGTCCATCACACCACACATGACCTCCGAATTACGAATGACGAGCCATCCGTCCTTCGGGTCAAGATCTTTCGGGCGGCCATCCTTGGGGGGCTTGTATTCTCTGCATGCAGCATCCAAGTTGACCATCACAGGGTCGTCCTTGTTGGGACGCATGAGAATATTGAAAACCTGCTTGCCGGTCCAAAGCATCTGTGGCTTGAGCACTGCGGGTGGGGGAAGATCGAAACGAGTTTCCGGGCCAAGCATGTAAAGGCATATCTGCGTGAACGAGCGGCGATCAAAGAAATTATCTTTACTACTCAAGATGTACGCAGCACTGATGAAATCTTGGATGGCGGAAATAATGGGTTCACCGTTCTTGGGCGTTGCCAGATTGTTCTTGACACCCATCAACTCCATAGCTTCGGCTCTCGCTTCTTCGGTCTGAGGTACGTGCAAATTCATCTCGTCTCCGTCGAAATCGGCATTGTATGGGTTACAGACACACTCGTTCAACCGGAAAGTTCTGTGAGGGCGGACCTTGGCAAAATGGGAAAGAATACTGAGCTTGTGAAGAGAGGGCTGGCGGTTGAAAAGCACGATATCACCGTCCTCAATATGGCGTTCGACAACGTCTCCCTCCTGCAGCTGATCAGCAATCATGTTGAGACTACCGTACTTGAGGAAGGTCTTGAAGGTTGAGCCCTTCTTGACCAGGTAGTTCGCTCCTGGCCACTTTTTGGTTCCGTTCCGAACTCTCTGCTGCAGCTTCTCCTTGTTGTACCGTGTGACCACCTCAGGATAAGTCATATTCTTCGCCACTAGTTCGGGAACAGCGACTTCATCAACTCGCAAATTCGGATCAGGCGAAATGACAGTTCGACCAGAGAAATCAACACGCTTTCCAGATAAATTACCACGGAATCGTCCCTGCTTTCCTTTCAGTCGCTGCACAAAACCTCGTATGGGCTTTCCCAAGTCTGCTTTGTTCAAGCCAGGTACGTCACTATTGATATAGACAGCAATCTGAAGTTGCATATAGTCCCAGCATTCCATGATAGTCTGAACGGGGGCACCCTTGAGCAATGCGTTCTTAAGATTGATGTTACTCTGGACAATGTCACCCAACTTGGCAGTTAGATCATCCTCGGTGGAGGAAGCGTCCTGGCCTACAGAAGGACGGATACACACAGGGGGCGCAGGGATATACTGCCAGAGAAACATTTCGGGTCTGGCTTCCTTCGGGTCCAGTCCCAATAGTTCGCAGTCTGTATCGGAAATTCTCTTGAAGAGGTTTAGAACACGCAAAGCATTCATATCATCCTGCGCTTTTTTGTAATGTTTTTCAACTTCCGCATTATGACTCCTAGCTTCCTCAAACGATCGGTCGAAGACAATCTTGCTGGGTGGGGGGATCTTCTTCATAGAGGTAGAGGCATTGAAGGCACGGAATTTATCGTGCGTGATTTTGAGCGCGCTTGTTCCAGCCTTCTTGACTACACCATTGACGGCACCACACACATCACAGTTCCGAGTCTTCCGGCATCGCTCGTTGATGCGCTTCGCTATTTGCAACCTTCTCAAATTATCCAAGCCCGGGCGTCTCATTTCACGGAGATAAGCACGACGTTCTCCTTCCGGAAGCAAAATGTGCGAACATTCTTTGCAAATCTCCTGCAAGATGGTGATAACACGTTTGAAATACCCTACATGGAACGAGGGCAGGACGAGTTTCACGTGGCCGAAATGGCCGTTACAGACTTGAAGGGCACCGCCACAGGTTTGACATGATGCGGTTTTGCTCGATACACCCATGCGCGAATCGAGGGGGCCATGGGCAACGACCGATCGATCACGGTCAAGGTCAAAAAACTTCCGGTCGGAAACCTCGACTACGCCTTGGCTGACAATATCATCGTTGGACCTATATGAGTCACGCGCAAGCAGGTCAGCCATGGTCCCCAGACAACCCACAAGTGACACCCGGCCAGGGTTCTTACAGAACACCAAATTTCAATTCCTTGATAACTTTCGGGGCACGGTCAATGACCTGGGCCTTGCCCAGATCGACCTGCACACCTTCCGGAGGCTGCATCACGCCTGTCAAGAGCTGAACATGGCAGGGAGGCAATAACTCAAAGAGAAGTTTTGTAGGGCGCTGCGGTCAGCGCACAACCGAAAAAGGGGCTCGTCGAGGTATATGTAGGACAATAGCACCCCGCTAATCCGTGTGAATGCCAGTTGCACAATCGAAAATGTCAGTGACACGGATGAAAGAGAAACTGCAAGACATCACCGCGGCGGGGTCGGCGACGAACTTTTCTGCGGCCAAATTGAAAGCTCCCGCGGCCCCTCCGCTGCGCCGTCCAATCACATTCAATCACTCTTGATATACACCGCTTACCTAAACATTCAATGCTCAAAAACTCCAAAACGGGTAATCATATTGAATGCCGGGGTCTACTATCCAAGGCAGAGATAAAATAAGTTCTAACAGGTATAATACAATAAATCGTAATTTACAGTCTTTCTCGAAACAGTCTATTTCGACAAGAAGTTTTGGAACGCCTTTTGTTCAATCACCACGTTTCCGACAGCCCTGAGCCTCTTCCGGCCTTCTTTCTGTTTTTCCAGGAGCTTCCTCCGTCGGCTGACATCACTAGCATGAAGCTTGGCCAGGACATCTTTCCGGTATGGCTTGACGGTTTCTCTTGCAATGACTTTGCGTCCGACAGCAGCTTGGATGACGACCTCGAAGAGCTGTCGATCGACGTGCTGCTTGAACTTTGTCACCCATTTCCTTCCCAGTCGTTCTATTTGGCTATAGTGAACAACTCGCGCAACAGCATCCACAGGGGCTTTATTAACCAGCAGCTGTAGTTTCACGATGTTGCTCGGCTGCCACGCAGATTCCTCGTAGTCCAGAGTAGCGTAACCTTTGGTGGATCCTTTGAGCTTTCCGAAGAAATCGTCGACCAATTGTGCCAGAGGCAGTTCATACTTGAGAATGACCTGAGTTGCCGTAAAATACTCAAGGGTTTTCTGCTCGCCTCGGTTCGCTTCGCACAATTCGATCACCTTGCCGAGGTACTCATCGGGGAAGGTTAGGGTAGCAAGCACGTAAGGCTCATGGATCTCTGCGACCTTAGATCGCAGATCATCCTCCTCGGGGAAGCGAGCGGGACTGGTCACAATCTCTTCGCGGCCATCCTTCCATATCACCTTTACCGGCACTGAAGGAGGCGTGATGATGATGCTGGCACCGTGCTCCTGGCGCAAACGATCCTCGAAAACAGAACAGTGGAGTGTCCCAAGGAATCCCAGTCTAAATCCTGCACCTAAAGCTTCAGAAGATTCCTTCTGCACAGTGATGCTTCTGTCATTGAGCATAAGCTGGTTGATGCTATCCTCGAGGTGCTCGAAATGATCCGCATCCACGGGATAGGCGGCTACGAAAACCATCGACTTGGGTTCTTCGAACCCCGGAAGGGGCTCCACAGCTTTCTCGGAGCCGACCTTGGTGTAAGTATCCCCGATCTTAGCTTCCTTGCTCCGTTTCATACCGGGGTTGAAGTAGATATAGCCGACTTGGCCGGCTCGCAGGACGGTCTGTGAGGTCTCGAGGGGGTACATGATGCCGACTTCACCGACATAGTACTTGATGCCGGTTGCGAACGAAATGAGTTGGTCGCCTGCCCGAACTTCACCGTCGAAGATTCGTACCAGACAGATAACACCTTTGTAGGAATCGTACCAGGAATCGACAAGTAACATCCGTAGGGGCTTCTGACAATCACCAACAGGCCTGTTGTACAGTCAATAATGAGTTACGGTAGTGGTTATGAATGGTATACATACGCGGGGATCTTCTCAACCACAGTAGGAAGTAATTGCTCAACATTCAGGCCGGTTTTAGCAGACACCATCACCGCATTTTCCGTGTCCAGTTCAAACGACGTTTTCATCTGTTGGAGTGCCTTCTCCGGTTCGGCCGATGGCAAGTCCACTTTGTTGATGACAGGAATCAACTCTAAGCCCTGCGCGAATGCGAGATAGAAGTTTGCGACGGTCTGTGCCTGGATACCCTGGCTGGCATCCACCAGAAGCAATGCTCCGCCGCAACTGGCATAACTGCGCGAAACCTCGGCACGAAAGTCCACATGTCCCGGTGTATCGACAAGGTGCAACAGATAATCCTCCCCGTTATGGTTATATATCATGGTACATGTTTGTGCCTTCACAGTGATACCTCGTTCCCGTTCGACATCGAGTTTGTCCAACACCTGTTTATTCGATCCTGGCTGGATAGTGCCCGTGAGTTCGAGCAGTCGGTCGGAGAGGGTACTCTTCCCATGGTCAACGTGAGCGACGATACAGAAGTTACGGTAGCGGTCGATGGGAATCTGCGCGATTCTGGCTTCAAGATCGGAGGCGGGTTTGCTCGCTGCTGCTCTGGCTCGCGATGCCAAATGGGCGGAACTAGTGAAAGAACGGATGGTATTATAGAGGCCGGATGGCGCCTTGGGAAGGCTTGCCGCCGGGCATTTCGGCCCTGCGCTCAGCCATCTGGCTAACTGCAGGCATCCTCGCATCGGGAGGTCTGCAATGGCATGGGAATTGTCTCTTGTCGAATTAAATGTTTCGCACTCTGACCGTGGGAATCAATTGGAAGTTCTGGTTTTGCGGGCAAAAAAAGTGCGGCTCTGCGGAGAAAACGATTGGCAGGCGGTCGATTGCGATGTATCGAATTAAATTTAATTGCTGCGGCGACTATCGGAGTAAACAAACGCTTCCTGTCTTTTCCCACCAACAACTCTCTCATCAGGAACGTCGACAGAATCAACTCACGGATTTATCCATTGCCGTCAAATTAATTCAACATGCCACCCACGAAGGACAAGTCTAAGGTTCACAAATTGTCCCTGAAAGGTGAGAATCAAACACGAGCAGTTTATCGGAAAGATCAGGAGCTCATCCCTATATAGGGTCGTCCAAGCTTGTCGCAGAATTCGTAAGGATCCCACACACTTCTTGTCATCGCCAAAATACTAATTTTTCTAGTTTGAATACTCTATCAATTCCATCCTGTGAGCCCGCATTTTCGGCGACCTATATAGGGCCATTTCCACTGACCCTGACCTCCAGTTTCCAGCGAGGCGTCTATCCCCCAGAAGATTTCACGACGTGAGTTTTTCGAAAGTTTGTGAATAGGCTGCTTGTGTCTAACTCGTCTAGTGTCAAGAAATATGGCCTCAACATGCTTAGTTAGTTGACCCGCCGTTACTTATTCTGTGCATCCGCTGACGGACCTAGTTACTTCCGATGACCAGGTCAAGGCCTATATCAAGAAGATCATGTCGCAGTTGAACAAGTGGATGATGGGAGGCAAGATCTCCAAACTTGTTGTAGTCATCACAGACAAGGAAACTGGAGAACACGTGGAGAGATGGCAATTCGACGTAAGAACTAGCACATGTGGTACGGATTTCAAAGACTAACAGATAATTGTAGGTCCAAATATTCGGGAAACAAAGCAAGAGTACGAAGTCGCAGGCTTCCGGTGACAAGGAAAACACCGGTCCAGAGTAGGCCGCCTTTATCCATAACATACATACTTCAGCTAATCCCTTGTAGCAACGCCGACCCTCAAACCCCGGTTGAGAAAACAGAGAAAGAAATCCAAGAAGAAATCCAGGCGATCTTCCGCCAAATTACTGCTTCGGTTACCTTCCTTCCTGTTCTCGACGGAGACTGCACATTTAACGTCCTCGTGTATGCCGACGCCGATTCCGAGGTGCCGGTCGAATGGGGTGACAGCGACGCCAAGGAGATCAAGAACGCAGAGAAGGTCCAGCTCAGGAGTTTCAGCACGAACAACCACCGTGTAGAGACACTGGTTAGTTATCGTCTTGCTGACTAGGCGAACCTACCACTAGTTGCGGTGTTTTTGGAAGGCGTTCAGGACAGAGGACGACAAGCTCAATTCTGCATATTTCGGTGCTCGTGTTTCGTGTTTTAGGATCGGCCGCATATCAGTAACGATTAATGAATATGCATCACTAGCATGGTTTCAAAACTTCTATAGAATTCAGCATATCTAAACTACCTAGTAGTAACTTCTTATCATTACCCCAATGCCATAATATCCCGCCAGTACTAAAACCAGGCAACTCCCCCATCCTCGAAAACCACTCATTCCCACCCTTCCCTCCATCCCATCTCACCAACTGCTCAACCACTTCCCCCAACCCCACATTGACAAAAAGCCCTTCCTCCATACCTTCCACCCACCCCCTCTTAACCCTCTTCTCCTTCAACTCCCCCAAACCCCATACCGATCCCTCATCCACAACCCAATCCCCCTTTTCTCCTCCCCCTCGATCAAAGATGCCTCAGAAGTCACCTCCTCAGGCGGATTAATCCCAACAACAGCAGCTCTACCTTCCTTTCCAAGCCCCCTCTGAAGCGGAGCCAATCCTATAGCGGGAAAATGATACTCCATAAAGCGTCTCCGCTTGAACTCATGCGTCACCACTGTCACCCGTGATGGGTAGGCGCCCGTATAGAGCCTAAACCGGAGTAGAGAGAATAGCACGTTCTGGTAGGAATCGGTAGCGTGGGTTTCGGCGATGATTTGGGCGGAAGGGACGGTGTAGTTGAAATAGTTGTTCTCATGGGCGAGGGTCTGGGGTTGAGAGTATTATTTTTTGCATCTTTTTTTCTCTCTCTCTCTTGTATTGGGGGGGGGGGGGGAAGAATTACGTACCAGGTACGACTCCCCTTCTGTTAAACTAGTACGATTCCTCTTTGTTGCACCTCTGATGTAGCAGTAAATTTGGGCAATCGTTAGTGGGGTTCTACGCCTCAATCCAAATATATATAAAGTCTGGGCAGTTCAAGGAGGGACGGTATATACCCCGAAAAAACAAGCAACGCAGCCGGATCATTTGCCAAGGCTTCTAGACCAGCTTTTACATGAGCTGTAAACGTGGGTGTTTCTCCCTTTTGGAAGGGTTCTATGAGCCTATTATGGTTTTGTTGCCCGTTAGGTGTGGCTATATATTGCGCGCTCATACTTACGGATATGTATGAAGTCGGAAGTATAGGTACGAGCACGACAGTATAGCTGAATGGCCCTTGTAGTATGGAATAGGAGCTGTAGAGGAAAGACTTACCATTCGTCCTCTGAGGTGCCGTGTGTTGGCCCACCAAGGTATATGGCGTGGCAGCAGACGATGATCAGATGGTTGCAGTGGGCTGGTGTTGACATGATTGCTGTATTCTCTTGGATGCTTTTCAACAGAACACTAACGGAGAGGTGAAGTCTTGGATCCAGATTGACTATAAGTAAATTGTGATAAATGTTTTTCGTTAAATTAACGTAGGCTCGGGAGATATTTATTACCTAAGCCGGTGATGGGCTGGTTTTACGATTCTTCGAGAATAATAAGTATACAGTGCACAGTTCAATTGGTAAAACAGCTGCTGGATGAGGTCAAATCGTGTCGCAAATCAGAACACTGTCCACCAGGACATCACTCTAATGTACATGCATGATGGATCGTCCGTTCCATGAAGAGAATATGAATCTCACGCCGAAGACACAATACCAACCTTGCCAAATTCTGTCCTTGCAGAATTGCATAACCCTACCGGAAATGACAGAACTCCGTTATCATGGTAGAATGCTTCAACAGACAACGCTGAGGTGACCAATGCCGAGGGAAAAAAAACTATCACCAGCAAAGCAGAACGCCGTGAACTCGCCCGTTATGCACATTTATGTGTCAACATACATCTGCAACAATTCGGAAAGAATAATATAGAGACAGAAAGCATGACAATATGGACATCCGTTATTGTAGGGAATGCCGACAAGAAAAAGAAAGGATAGGGGTATCAAGAGTTTGAGGCAGGAGAATAGTATTAGTTAAGTGGATCGTGACGGAAGGTGCAGTCGTTGCCTTTTCTGCATTTCCCTTCGGGCCAGTAACGACAAGGGACCAATCCAACCTTGGGCTATCATGTATAGTTAGTAACCGATTCCATTATAGAATATGCAGGCATCCGGCGACTTACATGACTCTTATTGGGTCCGTTCGGTTTGTTCCGTTTGAAATAACCATATCTGTCATCCTCAGAACCATCGAAGCCCGGACCCTCACGCATACGCTTGCGCTCTGGGTCGTCGAATTGGCCAGGCATTTGAGATGGGTTCGGTCCAGATTGTTGGTTGCCCCCAGTAAACTGTGATATGAACGCAGCTAGGTTTGGCGCAATAGCCGGCTGCGACGGTTGAACAGGGGGCATGACAGGTGGTGGTGGTGGTGGCTGCTGCATCTGCTTCTGAGCATTGAGGACAGCCAGGATTTTCTGGAAGTCGAGGCCCTGTGTTGCAGGAGCCTGAGTAGCGGCAGGGAACTGAGGCACCTGCAGTTGTTGGGCTGCAGGTTGTGGCGCCTGTTGCTGACGGAACATACTGATGGTTCGCTCCAGATCCGACATCGGTGCTTGAGTCACAGGCGGAGGTGGGGGAGGAGGGGGGTTGACTGCTGCTGCTGAGGCGCATTTTGTATGATTTTGAGCAAGTTTGAAATATCAAACTGGCTGGATTGTGCACTTGGCTGAGGTTGAGCTGGAGTTGTTTGAGGATTAATAGCGGAAAAATACCGCTCCTGTCGAACCTGTCATAATACAGTTAGGTCGGATTCACCAAATGAAAGGGGAAACAATGATAATGCTTACCTTGACGTGATCCGGAAGCTCTCCAAGAGCAACTGCTTCTGCTGTTGACCCGTCTTCACTGGGCGGGGGAGGTTCCTTTGGCGAAGGTGGCACATCTGCAGCGGAGGTATAGAAAACCATAAGCGTCGTCGCTTCGCGGTGCTCCTGTGCTTCCTTCTCAGCACTGATCGGCTGCTGGGTGCCGGCGCGTTTGATGTTGTTCCTGGAACGATCCTCAGGAGTGATGTCCGCAAAATCAATTTCTACCTAGGTTAGTATGGTATTTCTGATGGAAGTCTAAACCATGACTTACCCGATGGCTCATAATAATCACGCAAGCTTTCTTCGCGGACGCCACCATCCTCTTCCTCGTCGAACTCGTCCAGGTCTCTGTGAAGTTTAAGCACACTGCCTTCACCCTTGACATCACCAGCCTCGTGCTGCGCATGATCCCCTGGTCCCAGCTCCTCGTCAGGATCATGCGTGAACAAACGAACTTCAGTAAGAGAGTCATCCGGCTTCCACGTGACTCGGAGCCTTCGCCTCGCTTCTTTGCGGAGTCGCTTCTTTCGTTCTTCTTCCGTCTCTGGAGGCTTGTTCTCGGCTGGCTCAGACGGAGGTGCTTCTTTTTGCTTATTGAGATCGGCCATGATGTCGCCAAAAGAGAAGGTCGGCCTGGGAGGTGCGGGTTGAGACTCTTTCTTTTCAGTCGGTGTGCTGCTCACAGTTAGTATCGAATAGTGAAGCTCGAGTAATTACACAAATCTGCTTACCTGGACTTTGCTGCGGCCGCGGCCGCGGCTGCTCTCTCTGCGTTTGAGGTTCCTGGCCTCTTCGAAGCCGACGACAGACTTCCGAATAGGTTAGTCGGTTTGGGAGCAATAATATTAGCCTTTGGACGTGAAGCAGCTGCCACTGCTGGTTTGGCCTCTTGGCCTGTTTCCTGGGGGCGCTTGGCGGGGCCAGTCACAGGGCCGTTGGTTGGCTTCTGGGTACTCTTTAGATTTGACGTAACAACCATCCGCTTCGTGGCTGGTTGGCCATTGGCCTCAGCATCTCGAGGCCTTTTGGATCCAGCCAGCTCCGCACGCGGACCGTCAGCCAATGCAACATTGGAGACAGTGTTCATGGCGGGAGATGCCTCTTTCGGCGCTGCTTTATTAGCCTCTTGCTTTCTCTTAGTGGAAGTGGCAGCATTGTCCAAGATCTTCTGAGCAAGGCTTTTAGCTACTTGTCCGCCCTTTTTCACGAACCGAGGCAGTAGTTTAGCAACATTCGTTTTTTGGAGCACATCTTCATCCATGGTAACAAATCGAGCAAGTAGCTGATGAAAAGGCTTAGTCTCTTGCATGTTCAATATATGTGGACGAGCTTACCTTGAGCAGGTTTAGGGTGAATGCCCCATCGATGTCAGAGGCCTGATGCCGATCGAGAAGGAACGAATACATGGCAGCCACCGCCATGGGATGCTCTCCTAGCCTGAAGATTTGGGTTAGCCAACAGCAATCATACATGGCATAAAACTTGTATAAGCCGCAAAAAATAAGACACGGTGGTTTAGAATGACGGCTAGTGTGGCAGGCCAATCTCTATCACTAGAGTCCTAGTATAGTGACTCTTCAAGATAGGTGATTATGCGTCCATACTGGGATCGCCGAAAGGGAGCTATTCTTTAAAAAGAACCTTCTCCCTTTAGTTCCTTTGTTCTTTAAGGACACGTAACTAGGTATGTACTGTCCTCGGGTGCAAGGTAGTTTCCACCCTTACTTATAAGCATTCTTTTTAAGAAGATATGCCGAAGTCCACACTAGGGAAATTACGCGGGAGAGGCTCTCAATTCGTTTCTGACTTCTATGGCCATGACAACGATATGCCAAGTTGTTAAGAGAAAGGAATAATGAAAGAGAAAGGACATACTTTTCGACGATCGTGGGGTGGCCCTGATCCAGAGTGGTGCTAACAACCACGTCCATCAGGCGCCGCTGGAGGACAACATCCTTCTTGATCTGGGCTGCTTTATCGTTTTCGCCCTTGTTTTCCGCCATTTTCATCGCTTGTGACTTCTCTTTCCACGTATCCCTTACGGCTTTGACAACGTCTTTAAACGCAACCAGTGCGCCTTTGACTTTGTCAGCATGGGGCCGCCTATTACGCGGCGACCACACGGCTCGAAGGGCATCATACTGCGCGGCAGCTTCTGGGTCACTGGGACGAACAGGGTCAATGGGAAATGGCTCTTCTGGCAGTTCAATCTCTAGTTCCGAGTCAGAGGTATCGGTCTCGGATCCAGAAGAAGCGAGCTTCCCATCGGGCTTCTTTGTCGACGCCTTAGCCGCAGACTTTTTGGTTACCTTTTTCGACGTGGTCTGTTTCTTTCCTGATTTCGTCGAAGGGTTTGGTAGGATCGGTTGTTGGCCTGACGGGGTAAGTACAAAGATAAGAAGCGATAGTGTAAGGAACGTACGGTTCATAGGTATGACTACCTCAACGCCTGGAGTCTGTGAATTTGGGAGATTCGGGTTATTAGCAGTAGGTCGGTTCAGGATTGACGGCATTTGTAGGTCGTTCCGGAAGTAGTCGAATGCCCTAAAAGAAACAGTAAGTAAATGCCTCTAAGGCACAGTCAAACTAGCCTTTTCGGAATTGGGGCTCACCTCTGGTTATCCTGACGTTCGAAACCTGGGGGATTAACGTAGATGAAATTATTAAGGGGGGCATGCTGGTTGTTGGCTTGTTGAGCGGTGTTGAGAAACTGAGGGTTGATAGTTTGATGCTCATGTACAGTTGGCGCCGAATCAGGAAACTCGTTTGTGTACTGCATCTGACCATGCTGCTACCAATTAGCTAGCCTATTCATATAACGGACCTTGTTTCGAAGAGTCTTACCGAAGTCTCCTCTGAGAACCCTGCGGGTAGGGTGTATGGAACGATGGGAGTTTGAGACGTATTGGACTGATAAGGAGCTGATTGAGTCGGCTGAGGCTGAGAAGCTTGGGGTGTTGGCGTTTGTGAGAAGGTGTCGGGCACCGAGATGTGTTGAGCGGAGTAGTAGTTTCGAGGAAACGTATAAGGTTGATAAGACGGGTTATCGGACGCATTGAGCGGCTGCGACTCGAAAGACACCTGTCCCTGTGAATACTGGGGCAATTGACGATATTGTACAGGCATTGTGAATCCTTGTGGGTTCGACGGCATGATCTGCTGAGGATGTAGAGGGTTGGGTCGCCAAGATTGAGGAGTGGATGAGGGATACAGGCCATGGCCATGTTCCTGTTGAAGTGGCAAAGAACTGCGTTGCTGAGGTGTTTGACCGAATACTGGATGATCCCAGCCGATCCCCAATGGCTGTGGCTGCTGTGGTTGTTGCGATTGCTGTAGCTGTTGTTGTGGAGGATGCGCATGTTGATGTGGGGGTTCCGGATTCGCATACAGTGACTCCCAGTATTCCGGCGGCAATGAGCCCGGGTCTACTGGCGCATGAGGCAGACCGCGCATCAAATTTTGCGGCGGTGACTGCTCCATGCTGCCGTTCATTCGGTCCTGCGCTATCCGATATTGATTCTTGGGATGTTGTCGAAAAGTTATTTGGTCCAAGTACTAAAGGGAGAGCAACCCAAAATGGTAGGTATAAGTCACATGCATCCACGTGCGTGACAGTCCTAATTTGGAAAGGTCTGGGACGCCGGTCTTCCTGGATCGCAGTTGGCGGGAAGCCTGCTGGTGGAGTCCCCAGTCTAAGCCGTTCTATTGGACAGAGTCTCGTGATAAACGTTGGAACAATGAATGCAAGCCGGGCGAATCACTGGTCCAATCCGAGTTTGTCAGCGCTGGAAGATGCTGATTCGCTGAGTGGGGGAAGCGGTAAGAAATGGCAAAGCCGAATTTCTCGCAGTGCAGCAATTCAAGCAGTGTGAAGTGTAATAAATGGATGTATGATCCGGACCGTGGCAAACTGGCCTCCGCTTCCCAAATGTTAAAGAAACTTGACAAGTTCTAAGGCCCTTGTCCTTGTTTCTGTGCCTTTCCCTTTTTTTTTTTTCTGACTGTGCCAACAGGAAAAAAGAAGAAAAAAAAGAACAGTTATTTTGCCTGCTTGCCTGGGTGATTTCTTAGTGACGGTATCCCGTGCAAGTCGCGTTCACGTTGTGTTGCGCGCCCAATCTTGCACCCTTCTTTTTTAGGAAAAAATGAACCGCTCTTGATGCACCAAGTAGGTCAACCCTTCGAATACACCGGCCAAGTACTCCGTATAGTAGACGTAAGATAAATTTTGTTTTTGTCTTTCCTTTTGAACCCCTTTCCTTTTTCCAGATTCCTTCTTTATCTTTGCTTTTCAATTTCCTTGCCGCCTTGTCACTCTTTTCCTGCGCTGTTTTCGCAGACAATCCAGCCTGTACAACCTGTTCTTGTAGACCTTTTCTTCTCTTAAATATGTCTTAAAAGATGAAAAGAAAAGGTTCTCATACAAAGAAGTACACTGGACTGTAATTAAGCAGCATAGTCATTCGCTTTACGAAAAGGTTGGAAGGGAAGGGGGGATGGGTAATGGTGGTGGTGAGACTTGGAAAAGCTGAGCTGGGTTGGGCGAGTTTGCCTTTGGAGCCTTGGCCAGCCACGCTACACCCATTCAGTCTAGCGTTGGCACACGTGATCCGGGAGGCTAAGGCTGGAGGGCGGAGTTTGAGATGTTTGTATACATCTCCTTTATGAAAGGGGGGACCTTTTCACCTTGAAAGGGACTAATTTAACTTCATTAGGACTAGTGAGATTACGTCAGCTTCCATCAATCGGGAGCTTCTCTCAGAGGATGCCAAGTGGAGAGAGAGAGGGAGTACTGGGTCGTTGGTTGCGAGTGGGTAATAACTGAATTGTTCCTCAACAGCTCGGGTCTGGGCTGATCTGTTGATATTGTTCTGCCTGCTTGGATGTTATCAGGTTCCTTATCTGTCATGAATCTCGTTTAAGTCAAGTAATTGCCGTGAATATCATCCTGGGTGCAGACTATACCTTACTATGGCGTCGCACTCAATGTCTCTTCGCGACCGTCAGGTCGGTAGGTACTTCGTTTCTTCATGTACACATCTCTATGTGGTGGGCGTATGCTGATATTGGCAACTGTACAGTTTCCATTCAGAAAATCCTCAACCTAAACCACGACCCGCAGATCGAGGACAGCCATCATGATACCTCCGCGCAAGGCCTCATCTCGACCCCCATTTTGAACGAGGACGGCGACCCAATCTGGAAAGTTCTGGTGTTTGATAATATGGGACGGGACGTTATTAGTAGCGTACTCCGAGTCAATGACCTTCGGACTTGGGGTGTTACTATTCATCTGTACGCGCTTCTGCCATGTCGGTCATTCATGTGCGACTAACGACTTGCTTGAAGAAACCTTAATGCCAATCGATACCCTATCCCCGACGTCCCCGTAGTCTATCTCGTCGAACCTACTCCGGCCAACTTGCAAATGATTACCAACGACTTGGCTCGCGGACTCTATACACCAGCCTACGTGAACTTCCTATCGTCTGTGCCTCGGCCACTGCTCGAAGATTTCGCCTCTCAGATAGCGACAACAGGGACATCGGAGCATATCGCGCAAGTCTATGACCAATATCTCAACTTCATCGTTGCCGAACCAGACCTTTTCAGCTTGGGCTTAGGACATGATGCCTACTGGAAGATCAATAGTGCGCAGACAAGCGATGAGGACTTAGACGCTATCATCGATAAGATTGTCAGCGGCCTTTTCAGTGTTAGCGTCACTATGGGTATGTGCGGCCAGGCCATGTGTTTGTTTATTTGTAACTGATCATGATACAAACAGGGGCGATCCCCATCATCCGATGCCCTAAAGGTGGAGCGGCAGAGCTCATCGCCACAAAACTCGACCGTAAACTCCGCGATCACATTCTCAATTCGAAGGATAATCTTTTCTCAACCAACAAGAAATCTGCTCCCGGAGTACCCTCGTCCAGACCTGTGCTGGTCATTGTCGACCGTAATGTGGACTTGGTACCCATGCTTTCTCACTCATGGACATACCAGTCGTTGGTGCAAGATGTGCTCAAGATGCGCCTCAACCGGATTACAATCGAGACGGCCGACGAGGCAAACCCGGGCAAGGTAACCAAGAAAGCGTACGACCTGAATAGCAACGACTTCTTTTGGAAGCGTAATGCCGGAGCTCCGTTTCCCCAGGTGGCCGAGGACATCGACGCGGAGCTAACGAAGTACAAGGAGGACGCGAACGAGATCACAAAAAAGACCGGCGCGTCATCCATCGAGGATCTACAAAATGACACCAGCACCTCTGCACAGCACCTGAAAGCCGCCATTACTCTACTTCCGGAGTTGCGGGAACGCAAATCCGTTCTGGACATGCATATGAACATTGCAACTGCACTGCTTCAAGGCATCAAAGACCGCCAGCTCGACAACTTCTTCGAGCTTGAAGAAAACATCACAAAGCAATCTAAGACGCAGATCCTGGAACTCATCAATGACCCGGCAAAGGGGAGCGAGCCGACGGATAAGCTTCGGCTCTTCCTGATCTGGTTTTTAAGCACCGAGACGGAATTAAACCGTGCGGATATGAGTCAGTTTGAAGAAGCCCTCGCCCGTGTAGGCGTCCAAGACGTCAGTCCCATCGCCTACGTCAAACAAGTTCGCGAAGTCACTCGCATGACCATGATGACCACGGCTGCACCACAGCAACAATCCTCTGATCTGTTCCGTGGCTTCTCGTCACTCTCCAATCGCCTGACAGACCGCATCACATCCGGTGCGCTTGGTGCCAACTTCGACTCCCTGATTTCCGGTGTCAAAAATTTCCTCCCTGCGAACAAAGACTTGACCTTGACCAAGATCACCGAGTCACTCATGGACCAGCGTCTGCCTCTAGCTCCGCCATTGCCAAAACTGAAAGCTACCTCTATTTTGACCCTCGCAGCGCTAATGCCCGTGGCGCCATGCCCCCCGCTTCCGCTTCCCGTAATGCCCAGTCGCCCGCCACTTCTGGCGCACCCGGCCCAGGAACCGGTGCCAGCTTTGGCCAGCGCCGCCAGGCCTTCAACGAAGCCATCGTTTTCACGGTCGGAGGAGGTAGCATGGACGAATACGGAAATCTGCAGGACTGGGTCCGTCAGACAAGCGGACAGCCCAGCGGGGACGGTGCAGGGGCCGGCCGGGGAACGGCGTCTCAAGGCGCTCCCAGGCGGAGGGTTGTCTATGGCAGTACGGACCTAATGAATGCTAACGAATTCCTCACGGAGTCGTTGGCTAAATTGGGCCATGAAAGCTGAGATGAAAGAACCCTGAAACGACATGTCAATTTGAATGTAGCTTAAACAAATAGAACTGGTCTTCAGACATATATTTTTAATGCACCCTTTGAAACCCCTTGCTCTTTTCATCTCACAAAGCTAGGAAATCACATCGATTTGCTATCTACTACCATGGGCCTTCGAACGCGGGCGCTGCCTATCAGTATCAATGCGCCCCTGTCACTCTTAGTCCGAGTTCCCTAACCTGGCATACCTTGAATGCTACCAAAACTGTTCACGTGCCATCCCCGCCTTGATGTTTGCCAAGGCGAACATCTTCCAGGTTTCATTACTCTCAGCTCAGTTTACAACAATCCATCATGCTGCAGCCAGACCCTTGCGTGGTATCTCTTCAAGGTCCTCAGCCACGGAGCTGCGGCCATGAGACACGTGAATAATCCTTGAGACTGCTTGGTTCCAAAAATAACAAAAGTCGACCAGTCTTAGGAAGCATAGTAGTGTTTGAGTGTTACTCAACACCTCAGGTGGTGCATCCTGCCTGCTACCCCCTTACCACAATGACTGCACTTTTGTCTCTCAGGCCATGCAATCCATGCAATTAGACGATAAGGGGGCTAGCCCATTGAAAATAAAGCCACCTTGGTCTTCTCAAATAATTTAATTTGCTGACAGTCCTGCTGCAGAGTCACCCACCGCTTCGTTTCTGACACCCTGCAAGAGCTGTAAAAATGGCATTCAACCCTGAAGCTGGACAGCTAGGAATCCAATCGCATTCCACTACCAGAAAGATCGACGGCGAATAATGTCCAGGATGCTGTTAAGTAAAAAGGATCTTCGGGAACTTAAAAGCTTCCATGGATCCGGAAGCGCGTTGTGGGCCACAATCCAATCTTTTAACTGCTAGTTCCCGTCTTGATATTGTCCTCTTAGTATTGTCTGTCTTAACGGCGCCGACGTTGGCTTCGGCTACTGCCTAGTCTGATATGTCCTCAACGTCATGACTGACCCATTGTCTAGAACAAGCTCCACCACGCCAAACAGGTAGTATTGTACTCCCTGTCTCTGTTCAGCCGTATAGATATTGTCTGTTTCATGTGTTGCATGTACGGTGCAACATCCGGTCTGTCCTACCGGCCAATACTATCAACGTGGAGAAACAATACAGTCGCTCCCATCATGTTCAAGTCCCTATCCAGGAGCCGGACGTGTTCTCCTATAACAGTTTTAAGCAGAGTCGACTACTTGTTCCTCACTTCCTCATATATGACACTTTTCACAACAGCCCGTAGGATATCCTTCTTTGCCTACCGTCTTCGTCGGGTCGCGACTGATCTATACATCCTCCGTCTCTTGCGAGCCTCTCACGATAGTGATCATCATGGACTCCAAGTTCAATCCATACTACCAGAACCTCACCTTCCATGCGGCTGATGGGACCCCGTTCCAAGTACCCGTGATGATGTTGGATGACTTCTATCAGTACTGTATCCAGATATGCATCAACTACGGGGCTCAGTTCGGTGCTTCAGTGATTATCTTCATTATCCTTCTACTTTTGACTAGACCCGACAAGCGTGGTTCTTCGGTTTTTTTCCTCAACAGCGGTGCTTTGCTGCTCAATATGGGCCGGCTCCTCTGCCATATGATCTACTTCACAACCGATTTCGTAAAAGCCTACCAGTACTTCTCCGGTGATTATTCTAGGGCACCCACTTCTGCGTACGCCAACTCTATACTGGGGGTCATTCTTACAACTCTTCTCTTGATCTGCATTGAGACATCTCTTGTACTCCAAGTCCAAGTCGTCTGTGCCAATCTTCGACGCCGGTATCGAACCGTTCTCCTCTGCGTGTCAATCTTGGTTGCCCTTATTCCTGTTGGATTTCGCCTGGGATACATGGTTGAAAACTGCAAGACAATTGTCGGCGCTGATAACCCACTGTCACTTGTCTGGCTGGAAAGTGCTACAAACATCGTGATTACTATTAGTATCTGTTTCTTCTGCAGTATCTTCATTACTAAGCTCGGATTTGCCATCCGTCAGCGAAGGAGACTCGGTGTCAGGGACTTCGGGCCGATGAAGGTGATATTTGTCATGGGTTGCCAAACCTTGATTATTCCAGGTATGTCCTTTGCATCTACATCGCGACGATCCGCTTGTGTAAGCTAATTGATTTAGCGCTGCTTTCGATTCTTCAATATGTGGTCACAGTCCCCGAGCTTAATTCCAACATTCTGACCCTGGTCACCATCTCTCTTCCGCTATCCTCCATCTGGGCTGGTGTTTCCCTTACTCGTTCGTCCTCCACCGAAGATTCCCCGTCTCGTGGTGCCTTGTGGAATCGCCTCCATGACTCAGACGGCACAAGGAGCAACCAGACATCTTCCACGGATACTGCTGTCGCCATGACTTATCCAAGTAACAAGTCAAGGACAGTCTGCTATGCGGATCAGAGCGCGGTCAGAAGACAGCGTGATCCTGAACAGGGGCATGGAATCTCCGTGGAACACGATGTGTCGGTTCTTAGTTGCCACAGGCTTTAGAGTCGATCGGATGAAGGTGCTACTACGACTTGCTCTGTAATATCGAGGGGAAACCACGGCTTTTTGCTTAGTATTAATTCTATTCTCGCTTTAGCGCTCCGTCTTTTAATACTAGCATAGTTGAAGAATTGTAATACGTTATCTTGCTGTTTCTTTGATATTTGTAAACATGGAGCCCTAATAGTTAACTCTAAATAATTTATCGAATTAAATCAATTTAATGTCACGGGGGTTCATTCTGCCCGCTGTGCCAAGAACATGCGGGGAACGCGACCTGCGGAGATTCCTTTCCCACTTAATGACACACTTGATAGCACGCCATGCACTTCGTCTATCAGCTCCTTCGACATGGCTGCTGTGCCGCAGAGGACGCTCAACTGGCTATACAGCGTATTGATTCGGGTATACACAGTCCCCTTTCTTCGCATGCTCCAATGCAAGTTACTGACCAGCGCAGGATCATTACGATCCCCGACAGACGTATCAGGACCCCAATCGCACCTACTATGATGTGGCCTCCGTGCTTGCTCAGTATCCCTCCCTGTCCCCACGAACCGAAGTCTACAGTCCGTGATCTCCCTGGTTACCTAGCATTGGTGTTCAGTTATTAATCGTGCTTAGCATATGAAAATGGTTTCTCGGCCCTTCTGCTGCAACTCACTGGCACGGTACCCGTTACGTTTCGCGGCACGGTCTACAAGTTTCCTATATCTCTATGGGTCCCCAATACCTACCCTCGAGAGCCACCAATTGTTTACGTGACTCCGACTCAGGATATGGCTGTGCGAGTTGGCCAACATGTGACATTGGAGGGAAGAGTGTATCATCATTACCTGGCACACTGGGCAGAGGCTTGGGAGGTTCGTTGGTTCCGCCAGACTAGCGGGTCAATTTACTGATGGTGTGATTCGGTTAGAGATCAACCCTGGCAGACCTTGTATCTATACTCCGTGAGGTCTTTGCAAAGGAGCCACCGGTCCGATACAAACAGCAACAAGTACCACCACGCCCACAACAACCCGGGCCAACGCAAACCCCGCCTCCTCTACCTCCACTCCCAGCAGAACTCGGATTACCCGCGTCTCACTCACCATTGCATCAGAATGTCTCTTCGCCAGTGCCGGCGGTGCCGCCTCCCCCACCTCCCAAGCCTGGACAAGCGGTCTCTGCTGAGCAACAACAACCGATTCCTGCAGCACAACCCAACTCCTCGTCGCCTCTTCCTCCACTGCCGCCGAAGGAACAGGATCCACGGTGGCCGCCTCGAACCCATGCAAGGACTAGCACATCAACGGATCGCCTATCGCAGTATCCACTAGACCAAAGTGGCATGGAAAGCCCGACGACTCCGCATCGTTATCCTCAGCAGCAGCACCCCATGGCACATCCAATGCCAGTCTATACACAAGGCCCCTACCCTCGCAAGCTGACAACCGAGCACCGCCTGGCGCAATTCCGCAGCAGTTCCCCCGTGGCCCCCAGCAACAGCCCTTCCATAGCCTACCTCAACAAGTTTCTCCCCATCGACCGTCACATCACCAAGCAAATGGCGGATACCGGCAAATGCCACCACTGCAAGCGCCTCAGCAGGCCTCTCATCACAGTTCTCAGCGACCATCTTCAGAAGCCCAACCAGCAGTGAAACCGAAGGCCGAAACCCCTGATCTTCTTACTTCACCTTTTGAGGTTGAGCTTCCATCATTCGCCCCCGGACCTGCGCCGCCAATTCCACCCAATCCAGAAAAGGATGCATTGTTACACGCAGTGTCCAAGGCATTGGCTGCGACGCTGCAGACGAACGTGTCACAAACCGAGTCCGCGGCACGATCTCTACAGTCACAGTCGGACTCTTTGCACGCAGCGATTGCCACCTTGCAAGGCGAGATCTCCTCATTAAATACCCTCAATTCAAGCCTCCAGTCGAACACCTCCATCCTGCAACAGTCCCTTCACCGCGCCGATGCTGTCATTGCCGATGCGCAAAGTCGCATATCGCCATCCGCCGCACAGTCGAGCTTAGATCCCGTACCCTCCGGTCTTCCTCCAATCGATGAGGTCCTCGTCGCCCCAACAGTCGTGGGTAAGCAACTGTACGACCTGGTGGCAGAGGAACGCGGCATCCAGCAGGCCATCTACGCCCTACAAACAGCTCACGTCAAAGGTGTGATCGGGGTAGAAACATGGTCCCGGCACACACGTGGGTTAGCGCGAGAGGCCTTCTTAAAGCGAGCTCTTATACGGAAAATCGGGAAGGGTATGGGTCTCGATGAATACCAAATCTAAGATGGTCTGCTACGAAAAATAAATCTTTCTTATATACCATTCTGTAGAGAAACGTTGATGAGGACTATGAACTATGAATATGAACATATACATCTGTCCCTTTTAGTGGAACAACTGTGGCTTTCTTCGGGACACCGCCGCTTTAGTGAAGACACCCAAGGGCTTGCAGTGAGGACTCGTCAACTAGCAATAGTTTTAAACGAACCAAGACCCAACACATGGGGGCCAAGTGCATTCAAAGTGATACGTACAGCTTGCCGTCACTGATAGCCCGTTTTGATGTCTTAAAACTGTAACGACAAGGAGCCACAGCTTACATCCGGTGTCCCGCTTCTTATCACTGCCCTTACGCATGATCCTTTGCGCCTACAGGAGGTACTTCACAACAAGAATATGGTTGCCGAGTCCTCTTGTGCTGTCTAGGGCAGCGGACCCTTCGTGTTTGCCCTCAACAGACTGTTAAGCCTACCGCAAACGTTGTATACGTGTATTATTCTAAAGAAACAACCACCATCATGTCTCAAAACATATCATGCATTCCCCACTGCACTGGGTGAGCTCCTCATCTGGAATGCCTATTCTAACTGAGGCACAGTCCAGTGAAACAAATCCTCAGGGTCGTATTCCTTTTTCAACGAAACAATCTCCTCCGCATGAGAGCCATAGAACTGACTCAGCGGGTCAACCCCACGCTCACTACCAGAATAGAGAGAGATATAGGCAGTGGGAAGAATATTCCCAGCTTCTGTCTTCGAGATCGCCTCCGCAACGTCAGATGCCCATTTCTCAGCCTCCTCCTTGCGTTTCTCCACCGTTGCAAACCCAAGGATCTCGACCATATAGTGCGGCTCTCTGGCAGCAAATACAGAGCTGTCTTTCGGTGCCGCAGAGGGACCCCTCAGCTGATGCATGGACATCATGGTGCCTGGATCAGATGGCAGTGTGGTTAGGTTACGTCCAATTGCCTCAGCGACTTCGGGCGTGACCTTGTGCAGGTTGACTGTGCGACTGGATCCGTATACACTCGACGGGACCAAGGCTGCGTTTCCGGTGAACCACTCAGGGATTGTAGTCTCTGTGACTGTGCTCATGAGTAGTGGTCCCAGGGATGCGATCTGGTTACTCCAGTGCTTGCCCTCTTCGAGGTCATCGCCACTCCACGTGATAATGACAGCGAAGACGCGTCCAGGAGGCGCGTTGAATACTGCTTGTTGGATGGTTAGCTGCTCGGGAATGCCATTTTCTAATAGCTTTTGGTATCCAGTGCTAAAATCGGCAAAGACCTTGGCGATATCCTGGGAATTAAACAGGATAACACCAGCCAGCAGCTAGATCACGTTCAGCTCTTGTCGTTTCACAAGAGTGATAACTCTAACAACTTACACTTTTAAGCGGGTACACCTTGATAGTCAGGTCAACAATGACACCAAACACGCCTCCCGCCCCACGAATGCCTCTTAGGAGCTTCTCATCCGCTTTGATAATCTCCCCATTATGATTCACGATCGTTGCGCCAAGGATCTGATCAGCCCCCAGCCCCCAGTGGGATGAGAAGGGTCCATATCCTCCATACATCGCCCACCCGACATAGCCAACGCACGGTATTGACCCCATGGGCGTGGCGAGTCCTTCGGCCCACAGTTTTGCTCCGAGCTCCCCCTGAAGGATTCCTCCCTCCACTGTAGCCGATTGGTGATCTTCGGCTACCTTGACCCCTGTAAGCGCCCGAAGATCGATAACAAGGGCGCCATCCACGAGGGTCCGGCCTTCCATGTTATGGCCTCCTACGCGGATGGTGAATTTGAGTTTGTTAGACTTGGCAAATTGTACTAAAACCTTCACATCCTCTGCATCCTGAGGATGGACGACAGCAAGCGGGATGTCTGGACGGGCCAGGTTCCATACTTTGCACACGGTGGAGAACTCCGGTGACGAGGGTGCTGTGTATTTAATACTTGGATGACCCAGGAGGAAGGCCTCCAGGTTCGCAAGCTGAGAGTCCGCCATGATTCTGCGGTCAGATCTGGTTCTTGGGGTTGGAGGACCCAGACTGAGGAGACGGTCTGTCTATATATGAGAAAACTATCTACCTATCACTTTGGATCGTCTCCACTTTCCATGCAGCATTTTGGATACCAATTCACAACGGATTGGTGTTGCACCATTGGCGCGCTCGGTTTAAATCAGCTAGCTAGTGCTTACCAGCTGGACGCCTTACTTTGCCTAGGCGATCCGTCTTATTCCTGCGAATAAGTATCGTTGGGGCGAAGTGGGTGGCCCCACAGCTGTATCCCCGCTCGTTCTAGTTCAGTGATCGGAAGGTAAGGCGTTGGCCTAAGCCCTGGTGGACCATTGAGCCGCCAGAATATATGGCATCTGTGGGACAATGCTCCTTCAACCTTATTCTGTATTTTCCGTTTCATTCGGCATGATTGGCGGGACTTGCTATAAATAGGTTGGATAGGACGTTAGCTTCACAAGGTATGATTGCCCCAGGAAGGCTGTGCAAGGCCGTTATGCTCTATATATCGACGTTGTCATTCTGGTTTGAACCGTGATGTCATACAACGGGATATCTTCTACGTGACCTCCATTTATCTGACCTTGCCTATGTGGCCGTCAAAACCTCGCTGTTATCTGCCTCGGCCTCCAATGCCCTAAGTCTTCTTATTAGAGAATTTATAACTACGCTGACATGAAGAAGAATGACTAGAGTATATGGAAGACTTTCTCTTGGAGATTAAACCTATATAAGCTCCTTTATCCTTGTCCATTAGAGTATCTGTATACCGTAGGTGTAAGAATATTATAGAAGATAACCCATCCTATCTAGATGAAGTTATTACTCTCTGTGAATTGTCCCCATCTCCTCATATAATCCATACAATCGGCAACACACAGAGAATAATTACATGAGTTAATAAAAAAAAAAAAATTACTATGCCTCAATTTCTCAAGTCCATAAGGTTAAGCATCTAAGCACGCTGTCATCACCCATATGGAGAACAGCTCTGGAGGTGAGAAAGAGGGGTGAAATGCAGCGAAAGCGTATCTTATATGGGGGGGGGGGGGGGGGACTGGCCATATTATTTGTCGATATGGCTGCCAGTTGTTAAAAGCATACTTTGAAATACGACGCTCTTCCAATGTGATTTTTGTATGTGGATTATAGTGATCCACTACCTATAATGCTACTTAAATGTAAAGTGGCGAGGATTCTAACTAAACGGCCGGTTGAAAAGGACTGGATACTCCGATATATTTGAATTCTAAATCTGTTCGATGTGTGAGGATACGAGTACTAGCACGATATCCGAGGTAGATAGCTACCTTTTTTACAAAATCCCAAAGAACAGTATCTAGTAGCCAACTTCACAACTTCGCCTTCGGCTTTTCCCCCCTCTTCGTCCCAACAGGCATCTGTGCGATCTGAAACGCCTCCTCAGACATCCGAACCCCCTCCGCATCCGAACCCCGATTCTGATACTCTTCCCAGAACTTCTCATCCTCCAACCAGCCCCGGAACCACCGCTGCGTCCAATCCGCAACCGTGGAAGCGCACCAATCCACCTGCTCAAACACAAGAGTATGCCCACCCTTGGGCAGCACAGCCTTCTCAACCATCCCCTTCGCCACGCCACCACTGCCGCCCGTGCCCGTGCCCGTAGTCCGCATCTTCGAGTCCTGCGCATCCGGCAGAGAAAGAAAGCTCCTGCCCCCAAACACCCAGAGCACACTCGGCCGGACGTACGCCAGATTGCGCATGGCGGACCAGCACTCCGGCCGCGAGAACAGATACGGTCGCTCTTTCTCGACGTCCCAGTCCGGTAGCAGAAGGCGGTCCAGCTCCTCCCGCTCGAGGTTCGGCGTGAAGAAGTTCCAGGATTCCTGGTGCTTGGTTGTCGTTAGTGTTACCGCCGTGGGGGGCACTTTGGGGTCCGTGGCTGGGTTGTACAGCCGCGTGGGCACCGGGCGCAGCGCATGCCGGAGGTAGCGGTCTCGAGCTCGCGGGTCCCATTTGGCAAGGCCCTTAGTGAGAGACGCGACGGCCTTTTCGGGCGATTCCCACAGGTCCCGTCGGCGACTGGCCATCATGGCTGGGTTGGGGCCGCCGAAGGCTACTTCCAGGATGACGGGCTCGATCAGGACTAGAGTTGACAGAAGACGCGGGTGGATGATTGAAAGGTTAACCCTGCCATCATGGTGGGTTAACATTATTGTACGACCTCTTCAGGAGAATAAATTGACTTACAGTTGCGCACATCCCATACTATGACCGACGCCGATAAGCGGTCTCGGCATTTCATCGCGGAAGTGATTCACCATATGTAACAGGTCGCGCGAATGATCATACCAGTTAGCTAAACGGACACAATTAGCAAGTTAATTCTCATTTCCCGGGCTCAGATTCAAAACGTACTTTGGTCTCCCTGGATCTCTTCATTCAGGATGGCACTTGCGCCTTGGTTGGATGTGTCTGCTACCCAGATGCCGCGCACCGGCACGGAGAGCTTCTTCAGCTGGTGGTAGAGGTCTTCCCATAGCGGCTCGTAGATTTCCTTGGGGGACCCATTTCCGGGCACCCCGATTATGGTAATGGCATTGTCGGGGACGGGGTCGGCGTCGTTGGGGATATATTGTTTAATGGCGAGTTTTATGGGCGTCTCTTGCCGGCCTTTGATGCTACGGGGGGATTCGCGGATGTGTTGGCCTGGGATGACATGTTCGACAACTTTGAAGGGGAAGGTCATTTTGGTGAGCTGGATGCACAACGAAGCTACTTTTAGAACAGCCACACGGAGAAGAATGGAAGGGTAGAAGTAGGAAGTATAATAATGGATGAAGTGAGCACGACACGTGCCAAGGCTACGGCCTCGGAAGCTTTAGCAGGCCTATTTAGTAGGTATGATTAGTTGTTAGTACTTTGGTTTTTGACTGGGATGTATATTTGAGTATGCGGGGATGTCAGAGCCTTGTTTTCATACGGTATTGCTTGGTTCCAGTTTATTACAACTCTCTTTATCCTGGCATGTGACTTCCTTGCCCTATACCTCTGCCTGTTTACAAGAGAAAGTTAATTTAGATCGATACTCGCTTCATTGGTGGAATAATAAAACTGATAGTGATAAGACTCAGTATAAATCTCACGATTTTCTGATTCATATGAAAATGGTATCTATGTTGTTCGATTTAGCGTATATTCTACGACAATACAGCGCTCATTCAACAGAATATAGACAACGAAACTACCACTCCAGCTCCTCCTTCGTCAAACACTCCTCCAGCAGCTCCTGGATAACCGGCAAGAATTCACCTCGCTGAATGGCCCGATAAATGAGACTTGTATATCCGCCCACCGTGGGCGCCTCCTCCACCTGTCCGGTAGCCATCGCCTCCGCAGTGGGCGTCAAAATCCTCCTCGTACACAACATCGGCACTCCGAGAGTCGTCCGTACGAAGAGATACATTTTCTTCGAGCCGTCTCCTAGCATGGGACTGGCATCGCCATGGACCAGGTAGGCGTCCCGGTTGGTGCACCATGCTTCGTGGAGCCAGGGGCCGAGCTGGTCAATGAACGACTGCATATCTCCAAGGTTGACACTTTGAGACGGCACACAATCTAGAATAGGGACGCGCATAGTCTTGGCTATGTGAGGGAACCGATCTACACTGTCCATTGAGACGGTCTGTTCTAATCCTTTCTGGAGATGGGCCCATAGCGTGCTTGGGAGGTTCTTGCCAGCGTCTGTGGCGTTCAGACCTTGCTTTTCCGCCATTGAGGCAGTGCGGGTGAAGAACTCAGGCTTGACTCCGTCTAAGAATTGCAACTGCATGGCACGGAGATCCAGCGCCTGACACGCGGAAAGCAGATGCGCTGCGACGAGCTCTGTAAGCACACCCACGGCCGTCGCAGTGTACCGACCGGAGATCAGAGCCAGCGAGTTCAACGACTGGTTGCCCAGCTCAGCATTGTAGACATGGTTAACGGGGCCCGCCAGGAACCCAAGCTCGGAGGTCAAGGCCGAGATGTAAATGTCGATGGCCTTGAAGATACCGGACTGGCTGGGTTCATCTGCAACCAGGTTCGGCGGCAGACCCCAGCTGGTGGCGGGGTTGATCATCTCCTGACACTGGGTGAAGAGCATGCGGCCAATAGCCTGTACAGCCTGACGACTCTTCTCCATGGACGAGGTGACGGCCTTGGCCTGGAAGTTGCCGCCATGCAGGAACTGTCCGTCGCCGTTGACAAGCGGGTTATCGGTGGCCGAGTTGCACTCGATGCTCATTTGCTGGTGAGCTAGTAGCAGATCTTCGAGCACGGGCCCGATCCACTGCGCCGCGGTGCGGATTGAATATCGATCCTGGCGGAGCGACCCATCCTTGCCGTCTTTCTGCTGCGCGAGTCGAGACCCACGTAGGAACACCCGGATGTTGCGTGAGCTCTCGATCTGTCCTGGGTGCGGACGCACGTCCGCGAAGAAGGGGTCGAAGCTCTCTGGCGAGCCTAGCAGTGCTTCCACCGTCATCGCCGTCAGGATTTGTCCCAACATGGCCAGCTGGTGTGTGTCGTGTAGCACGAGCGTGGCGCACGCCGCCGACATGGCCGTTCCATTGACGATCGCGAGACCCTCTTTGGCTGTCAGGGATATCGGTTCCACACCGGCCTCCGCAAGAGCCTCGTCGGCGTATACATCGCGTCCATTGCCTGGACGGAAGACTCGAATAGTTGGCTTGCCCTGAAGTACACCGCTAATATACGCGATAGGACTCAAATCTCCCGACGCAGAGATACTCCCCCGCATCGGAACCATGGGGATGATATTCTTCGAAAGAAGATCCCGTAAGCGATCTACGATGACGGGCCGGACACCCGAGTGGCCTTTGACCAGCGAGTTTAGACGCAGTAAGACTGCAGCCCGCACCCAAGGAAGCGGCAGGTGCTGAGACTCGGCTGCATGTTCGAGACTCAGATCGAACGCCTGATATGCGGACTTCTGGGGATCAGATGAAGGGCGAGGATCACGCGCCCCTGGGGGTAATAGGCCATAGCTTAGTTCGCGGGTTAAGACGCGCTGCAGTGCTAGGACGTCGTTTGCGCGTATATCTGCTGAGCCTCCGAACCCAGTGTTCACTCCTGCATAAGCTAGTTAGGGACTTATTCCTCATGGGTTACAATAAGGTGGTCTAGATATACCGTAGATGACGTTCCCTTGGGAAAGGCTCTTGGCAATGGCAGCATGGCTCTGGTTAATTGATTCGTAGGAAGCAGGGTTTATGCTCACATTGCCTGCATATCTTTAACAGGTTTGGAATAGATTAGATCCAAGCAGAGTACAGGCGGAGCTGGGATTCTTTTACCTGGCAATGTAAACCACATGAGGAATATCTAGTCCGCTACCATTGAGGACCAAATCCCCGGCGGCACCGCGCAACAATTCATTCAACAGACTCCATTGCTGCAGTACCAGTGAAGTATGAAATTCGAATGGCTTTCCCATTTCAATATCTATGGTGTAATTGGCGGTTTACCTGGAAAATATGCCGGGTAAAAAGCCAAACCAATAAATTAAATAAAACCAACCAACAGATAAGTAACAAGCAATAACAAGCAAATCAGGAAAGTTTCAATGAATGCCAAGAGGCGCAACCATTCTTCTCCGAGAATTTTTAACCGACGATCAGGAACGGACAAGTAGCTGCGGAAGGATGAGTTGGCATGGTAGCATCGCTTCGCCCCGAAGTGCTTGGATAGGTATATGATCGTCGTGGGTTAATTTGTATCTCATTGAGTCTTCAGTACTTTTCTACACAATATATTGCACGTGGGGGCTAGATCACAAGAGGCTTTCAATGAGCATTCATATCGGCGAATAAGAAGGCCCGTACACAAGTTGTCAGCACTAAACTAGGTGCATTTTAGCTGTATATATCCGGCATTAGTGTCAACAGTGGAGTCATATTCATCATACCCGTCCAACCACTGCACCGGAGGCATTCCCATGCGTGGTACGTTACATATGGCTGTGTCTAGATTCGCCGTGTTATCTATCTTACAGGAGGGATGTCTATCTAGACCCTCCCAGACGTCCCTCCTGGCTGGCAATCCCTGCACATGGCCACTTTAACGCCGTTTTTCGACTCCAGCGCGATGCTGGACCCCTCCACCCATTCGTCTGGATCGACACTGGCGATGGTCTTGAAGTTTTGCGCCATTCGTACCACGGCGTACGCAACTTCATTTAGACCAAAGTCCACTGGCAATAGATGTTAGTCCTTGGTGATTAAATTAGTGCTTATGCCAAACAGGGGGGAAACTCACTCCCTACGCAATTTCGGGGACCGCCGAGGAACGGGATATATTTCTACTCCGATAACACGCGTTGATTAGAATATTGTAAAAAAGCTGAAAAGGATCAGGAGTTTCTCACCCATGTTTGCTTTTCATAGGACCATCGTTCCGGGTGGAACTCATCCGCGTCCTCACCCCAGAGGTCCTTCCGATGGTGAAGCGCATACACTGAAAGGTGAACCATCATACCCTTCGGCACTAGGACAGGCGAACTTCCATCTGGACCACCGCCAACGGGAAGAATGGTGTCTCGTACGGCAACACGCGAATTGGAGGGCTGAGGCGGATAAAGGCGAAGACCTAGATAGTTAGGTAGAGAGAGTCAGTCGTCAAAGTTGGCCATGATCCCATGAGGACCAAAGAGAAAGTCGATATCTTACATTCGCGGATGCAGTCCTGCACGTATCGGAGGCCCTTGAGCTGCTGAAGGTCGGGGAGTTTCCCTGCCAGAGACTGGACCTCGGAGCGTACACGATTCCACACATCCGGTCTTTTGGAGAACACAAAGAACAGGTTGATAAGCAAAGCGGCAGGGGCATCCGTCCCTGCAAAATATAATGTTGTCAGCTCGTCCCGAAGTGCCGTGGGATCCTGCGTTCGTTGTCGAAGTTGGTCGATGAACAGAATCCGCTGCTCGTTTGGTTGATCTGAAACTTTTGCTGGTGGCGCGACTTCCCGTTGCAACGCCGCATCAACGTATCGTTGGATGAAGCGGTGGGTCAAGCGAACATTTTTCATGAATGTACGCTGAGGCCAGATCCATGACATGGATCCCAGTAGCCATCGAAGCTCGCAGGTGCTATGGGTGTCGGCAAAAGCCTTCAAGGCTCCGCTGTCCAGGTTCCGGGGGTTCTCGAGAGAATTGATTGATTCTCCAAAAAGGAAGTCTGTTGAAACATCGGCAGCAAAGCGATGGAGGAAAAGGGCCAAATCGAAGTTTTGGTTGTCGGGAGGAAGGGCTGTCAGGAGACGCTGACAGTGACGCTCCAGGAGATCCAACTGAGAGGTTTGTACCCGCGAGAAGCATAATTGTAGCTGTGATCGTAATGTTTGCCAACGCGCTCCATCGCTCTGAAAGATGCTCTTGCCAAACAAGGGAGCAAACGCATTCCGACGTCGGAATCCAACCTCGTAATCGGTAAATTTAGTAGAAAAGAGAACTTCAAGGTTCTTTGGCTCAATTGTATTCACCATCCAGCTGCCTAATAGCAGCGACATGAATGTGTTGCCATATACTCGGTGCAGTTGCTGCTCTCTTCGAAAATATTTATCGGATTTCCTCGCCTGCATAGAGTCCCGCAAGGAGTCCAATCCGAGAAAAGGGTCCCGGTGGGCATACCGTGCGGGTGCTTGACATCCATGAGCTTGGGCGAGTCTTCCATGAGCAATGCGCTGTGTAAGATAGAGCACGAATATCACCACTGCCCCAGCACCAACAGCCCATACCCACGAATGAGTCCTCTCTAACGCAAAAGGGAACCCGGTGGGGATAAAACCCGTTTCTGCCGTCATTTTTCCAAGCCAAATAAAACCGACGCTATTTGAACAGTTGGTCCAATAGCATCGGTATTATGGCGGAAAGATATGAGCAAGGCCAAAGACTGGACCTAACTGAGGTGGTCTGGGTCTCGCTATTTATATTTCCAGAACTGTCCTCATTTTTTTGATCACTCAGATTAACTATGGCATCTGTTCTATGGAGAAGAAGAACTATCGCCTCCGGCTCAACCAGGTTGCTTCAGATCCGCCATAGGTTGAGCCCCTACACCGTCCTGGTATCTTGTAGATCTCTTTTTGTTCCTGGATACTCTCAAGACAAATCACTAATCACTAATCTCATCCCAGAAAAGCCACATATCCACGGCCATTGCTACCGAGTCAAAGGACACGACGCCCTTTGCCAACGAGCCCTATGTGGATTCGCAGTTCTGGGAAAATGCAGTGGGAACTGCACTGAAAACACTTATGGGAGGAGCAGGATATAACGCTGCCTCGCTACAAGAACACCTCAATTTCGTTTCTCAAAGTGTTGCGCCTGCCTTAGGGGCACGCCCTACCCAGGGCCAGGCGCCTCGGTGGAAGAGCTTTATGACCGATGATTATTCTCCACTGGAATACAGCTGGAGCTGGGACGGAGAGCGACCAACCATCCGATACAGCTTTGAGCCAATCGGCCCTCTAGCAGGGACGGAATGGGATCCATACAACCGCCAAGCTCCGATGGCATATGTCGATCAACTCCAGCGCCAACTGCCCGCTGCGGATTGGACGTGGTTCGCCCACTTCGCCCGTGCTTTTCATCAAGATACGTCCGCCAAAGTAGCCACCCAACGCGATGGGTCCAGTCCCTCCTCGGTTTTCATTGGTTTCGACCTCGGACGAGATGGTCGTACGATGTGCAAAATGTACCTGGTCCCGGTAAAAGCGGAACAGACCGATCGGTCGCGACTCGCCGTTCTCGACAACGCCGTTCGCACGCTCCCACAGTTCTCCGATTTGTCTGCCTATCCCCCGCTGCAGGGCTTCCTGCGACATCAGGAAGAAATGGGCACTCCCGCACATATTATTGGTGTGGCTGTCGACTGCGTCGATCCATCCGCAGCGAAACTCAAAATTTACTTTCGGAGTCCCTCGACCAGCTTTGCCAGTGTTAAAGAGACGCTAACTGCGGGTGGAACGGTGTCTTCGTGGGACGAGTGCGCGCTGGAGCAACTGCAGGAGTTGTGGTCTCTGGTTCTTGGTCTGCCCCCTGATTTCTCACATAATCAGGAGCTCCCGTCGAAATCACATGAGACATCAGGAGTACTGTATAATTTTGATATTAAACTCGGCAATCAACAGCCCGAGACCAAGGTATACATTCCTGTACGCCATTACGGACCAAATGATCATGCAATTGCCATGGGTCTGGTGGAGTTTCTGCAACGTCGCGGTGGACACACCCCGTACCAGGATCGCTTTCTCAAGGCATTGGAGCAGTACGCCTCGTTTCGCTCGCTAGACCAGGGGTGTGGAGTCCAGACTTACATTGCCTGTGCCTTTAAACGAGGTCAACTCAGCTTAACGTCTTATCTGTCTGCAGAAATCTATCATCCTGGTCGCTGGGAGGGGTTAAGGGGCGTAAATAATTTGGAAATGCCGCGTTTCTAACATACGATTTGTTCTTACTTTTGTTTCATTTAATCTATTTAATCTATTGGTGCATTTATTTGACAAATAGACAGCCCCTTGGGAAATTACAACAATGCAGCTCTCTGTCCCAGGAAGCAAGGCTGATGGTGGAACCGTGGCACGGAGTGCATCCTCGTGCTTGTAAATTCGTAGGGCTGGCTGAGTTCAGCGCGCAAAGCGATCGTTGCTCGCTTGCGTATATAATTTATACGCGGTAGTATCCTCGCTCTACCTCGTGCGCATTTCTGCAGAGGTTATTTGGCCCCCAAACTAGCTGCAGCTTCGATATTGGAGTGGAGAATACTAGTATCCACCCATCCGGCCTCTTCACGTCTGCCTATGCGTGCGTCTGCTAATCAGGTTGACACATTCAGTGATAATATGTAACATTATTAATTGCTACCGCGTTGTATGGACTCTCGAGTAATACTAGTGCATACAGAGGTAGCAGTTTGCATCAAGGAATGAGGATCAAGTAGCTTCCGGCGATCGATTGCTGACTAGAGGATTAACCCCATAGATAGATAGTTAATACGAGCGCCATACTAGCGCTGGTCCTATATCCAATTTACTCCGGGTAGCGCCCATTTACCCCTCCGGCGGCAAAATGCGGATTGGGATCGTCATAACGCCATACTGCAGACATTTTCCCAAGATAGTATTCCCGTGCGTTGATGTTGAAACTAACCCCTCCAACCATACTCCAAACAGGGAATATTGCCTTGACTGCATTGCAGCTGCATGTACCGCGTATAAGCCTCGGAGCAACTAAGATGGAACGGTACCAGGCCATGCTCCGCACACAGCCCATGCTTTGTCGTTGATGTGACGGCCCTAATCCCTGATAGCATGGGGCTGTGAACATGCATGTAAGCATCTGGCTCTGCAGTGTACATCAGATGTTGACACCTGCATGGTCATTATTACTCCCATCTGGAACCAGGGCGCCCGACGTGTCTTCCATCCTTCTCATTTTCAATGGCAGGGGCTCTTGTGTATAGATACACTATACATTTCTTCTCCATCGGTAGCGAGTGTTAAGAGCACCTTGGTGACATCATGCCTGGCACGCCAATACCGAGAGAACAAATCTCGCCCCACTATCTAGAAGAAAATATCTCTGGTCGGCTCATCGCAGCATCGTCGATTATCTTGATAGTTACAACCATACTGTTGGCCCTTCGTCTGTATGTCCGCAGTCTGCCGAATGTGAAAACTGGCTTGGAAGATATCCTGTTGCTTCCAGCGTATCTCCTTTCGGTAGCGTCCTGTATTTGTGGTTATCGTGAGCTTGAACCTCTCTTCGGTTTTGTTTCATGTTGTTTCGTATAGAGCCCTTGCGCTGATCAATATGGATTCAATTCAGTTGCGGTCACCCACGGTGGCGCCGGTCGCCATGTCAAGGCACTGGTGCTGGAAGACCCAAATATCATAATTGTACGAGGAAAACTGCTCTACTCGCTCAGCTGGGTCACGGCATACTCAAACTGCTTCTCGCGACTGTCGGTCTTGGTATTGCTCTATACGATATTTACGCCAGGTGTTGCTCGAAAATGCACCGTTCTCCTGATGGTCTATATGGTCCTCTTCCTGATCTCGCAAACAATTGCCGGTGCCATGGAATGCCGGCCACTCGCATACTTCTGGGATCGCACCGGCGATGGAACATGCATCAACCTCTTCTTGTTCTTTAAGCTGAGTGGGATTCTTAATATAGTTGGTGATGTTGCCATCATGGTGCTCCCCGCGCACACAGTGTGGAACCTACAGGCATCAATAGCCAAGAGAGTGGCTATTTCACTTGTCTTTCTCTCTGGTAGCATGTGAGTACTTCTCAAGAAAAACAAGCCCCATCCATTCGTTTTTCATTGCTCTAATGCAGATACCAGAGGCTTGATTGCGTCCTGCTTCCGAACCGCTTCTTTCTTCACGTCGCAAGAACACTCAACGGAAGATCCTACATGTATGTACACGCTCCTCTCAACTTAGACGGTCTTGGACCTAACTGTATTTTCTTATCTAGGGACGGATGTTGAATTGATGAGCTGGACGATTGTTGAAAGCGGCATGTATATGGCCGCTGCGTGCACTATGCGCCTGCGCCCACTATTGAGAAAACTACCTGGGTGGTTTAAACAATTCAAGACCACACATGAAAGTGGTGTGACAGTCGAGAGGACTTTCACCATAGAAGATGGGAAAGGGTATGAGATGAACTACTACGCGAAGCAAGGCCATATCCCGCTCAGGTCGTTTGACAGAGATCTAAATCGGGCGAGCCTGCTCCAAAGCCCTACACCGGCCAGAAGTAAATAGATGGATGCTTTCTATAGAAATATGTGCGATGTATATATATGCCTATCGTTTTTTGTTGTGAGTATTAATCCTTGCTGGGATTGCGGGAGCAGTCGCACTCCTGGGATGCGACGCAACGCATGAATAATGAACAAACAGTAAATCACAAAAGGATGTGTACAGTTGCAGCTCCGGAATGATTCGGAAGGAATTTGTAACTTTGATTTATTACCATTGCATTGGTTTTCCAACAGGGTCCACTAGAATGAACATATAAAGACAAAGGCACTTCCCCCTCTTTGGCCCCCATCGCTTTTCCCTGCCTCACCACTGAGTGATTCTCCATCCTTTTACAATAAGATCTACGTAGAGTCATGGTCTCTGCTACCTTTCCACTGCCTGGCGTTGTCCACGGCAAACGCATCTTAGCCACTGTCATCGAGAACCGCGCCAAAGACGGCACTAACACTAATCCCTGGATCTCGCTTCCCATCAACGACCAGGATCTTTCCGCGGGGTACCGCGACATCACTTTCCAGCAGCTGAACAACGCAGCAAACCACGCAGCTCAATGGCTAAGTCAGGCCCTTCCGACGACGTCCGAGCCTTTTCAATGTTTTGCATATGCTGGCCCCAAGGATCTGCGGTATGCGATTCTTGCCGTAGCCGTGGCAAAGCTACAGAAAGTGGTATATTCTCCAAAATTTCTAGAAAACAGGAGGAAGTCCGAGACAAGCTGATCAAAATCCAGATGATTCTTCCCTCGCCGTTAATCACACCAGAGGCTCAGCTGCGTATTCTGGAAAAGAAAAATTGTACATTGTATCTCAGGCCGGTCGAGATGGCCGGGCCTGTAGGTGCTATTCTACAAAAGGCACCTCATATCGAGAGTATCACGGTCCCAGGAATCGAGGAGTTTCTCAGGGATGATGTAGCATCGCCAGTAGTTTATGGCAAGACATGGGATGAAGGAAAAGACGATCCGTGGCTGGTGTTCCACACCTCAGGCACAACAGGTATATTTTTAATTCGATACATTCAAACCATACGCTAACCTTCTCCAAGGAAATCCCAAGCCGATCACCTATACACATCAAATGATGGCTGGTGCCGATACCGCGGCTTCTTTGCCGGACATCGAAGAAACTCATATTCATCAATATGCCCAGCGAAGGTGGTACACCCCTTTGCCCTCGCTACATGTAAGGCCTCAATCTCACCCTGTTTCCTGATCCCGGATATATGCTTACTAGCATAGTTTGTTGGCATGTTGATGAGCCTTGCCATGACTGGGTTCGTGAATATGACATCCGTCATTGGGCCTCCAGCACCCCCTACCGCCAAACTTCTTATAGATATCTTCCGCTACGGCCGGATAGACGGTGCACTTCTCATGCCCGCTCTAATTGACGCACTCTGTCTCCTCCCCGAAGGCATTGAAGCGCTACGAGAACTTAAATACGTTCATTATGCTGGTGCTCCGCTCTCGGCCAAATCTGGAAATCTACTAGCACCCTACACGCAAGTTGTCCCCTGTGTCGGCAGTACCGAAGCAGGCGGGTACTTTACCACTATCCATCAAAACAAGGATGCATGGGATTACCTCTCCTTCCAAAAGCATTCCGGGGCAGAGTTCGAACACCGCATGAACGACCTGCACGAGCTTGTATTTGTGCGTCGTCCTGAATGCGCAATGCAGCAGATCTTCCAGGTCTACCCAGATCGCGATTCTTTCGGAACAGATGATCTGTGGATCGAGCATCCGGTGCACAAAGGACTATGGAAGATCATCGGCCGCAGCGACGATTACGTATATCTAGCTCATGGTGACGGACTGCATGCTTCGCTTCTGGAACCAGAGATCATCGCTCATCCTAGCGTGAAGACCGCGATCATTGGAGGCCATGGGCAGATATCACCAGTTCTTCTGGTGGAGTTAATTCCTGGGGTGGAGTTGGACAATGCGGCTTTGAAGGAAAGTCTAGAGCCCTATATCGAGAAGGTCAATGCACATTGTCACGACTGTGTGAAGCTCTCTTCGGAGAGGTTGATCTTCGCCACGAAGGACAAGCCATTTATCTTGACGGCTAAAGGAAGTGTGGCGAGATTGCAGACGTTGGCTCTCTATGAGGAAGAGATCGTATCCTTGTTCGCTTAAGACAAAGCAAATGGTATGATCTTTTCATGAAGTTGGTGACCAGCATTCTTCATATATACAACGAAAAAGCAATGGCTCACTATTCTTCAAGTGACAATAGCATAGTTTCTTCATGGAGATTTTGACACTTAAGATACTCTTATTATTCCGAATAGGCTTCCAGAGGACAGACTAACTACACTGCCATTGTCATTCATGTCTATCTATTTGCGAGGGTAAAAACAGAGAATATGAAGAAAATAAAAAACAT